CAATGTTGTCAAACTGCATACTACGAGATTGACCTCTTTTCTGATTGGCTGCCAAGTTTCATTCATATCCATCCACGAGAAGCGGCGTGAGAGCGAGTTAAAGACAACAACCTTTGCGTTAGTGCGTCCCACAAACACCCCCGCTGCGGGGGCCAAAAATCAGCAGAACAAAACACGCTCGGTGGGCATTGCTAATTTTGATTGGTTTGTGTTATGTTTCTACACACCTCTACAACTAACAACTGTTTCAATCTACTCATTAAGAATATGTACAACATATGCATTCAGACTAATCCATTCTACTATTGAAACTAGTTTATTATGAACATGGACTGGATTTCAGAATCCATGGTCATTTGTGTCTGGAGACTGCTACTACATTCTCACAGTCTTAATTAAAAGCTCTATTTTATAAGTCCAAGCTCAACAAAAACATTATCCCACTTAGGAAGAAATAAACCCCCCATCCAGTTACATACATGTTAGAAAGTTAACTAGATGGTCCTGAGTGCATGCCGAAGTGAGACTACCTTTACCCTTCAAAGCACTGAACACATGTTTTATGTATGTATGTCTTGCAGTCAATGCACAGGAGCTCTGATGCACAGGTCTTGTACGCTGAGAGGGGCAGTGCTCAGAGGGTTAAAAAAAACCAATTGTGCCAAAGAGAGAGAGAGTAGTCCCCACAGACATGGAAACCCAAATTCAATGTCATCTGAACTGAACCTAAAACTCACCTTTCATCACAGTTGAGTCTGAGGGAAGCGGTGTGCTCTGAAGTGGAGCTGGGTCTTGTTTTGTCGGAGACGGTGAGGTGAGAAGTGTCTCTTGAAGCGAGCGAGATGGAGCAGGGGACATGGGAAACGCTGAAGCCCAGCTGTCCACACTGGAGATCAGAGCTGAACCATCAAACAAGTGATCAGCGATGGTCTGGAAAGACAACAACACTGATGGATTAGTTTTGGGTTTTACAACAGAAAAATTGTAAGAGATACGTACATAATTAAATTAAAAATACACATATGTACATGATTCCATGACCAATAGAAGATACATACATCATCTGTACACGATCACATTCACAACAGAAAAAAAAATACATCATCCGTACAGGATTACATAAATGAACCAGTAAACAAGAGACAACTTTACCTGTGGTTGTACAAATTAGTCAATACTTTAGGAGATTCATTTCATGCTTAATTACTGTTGTCAAGATTTAAGATACCAGTATATAGCACTAATAGTAGTATATCATAAATCAGAAAGAGTTAAAAACCTCTATGACTAGTTAACACACATTGCTGAAAGGTCTGACTTTTCTCACACCCTCTGTATTTTTCTGTTGTCTTGACTTTCCCAAACATCAAATACATACTATAATTGGATCAATATATGAGGGTCAGAAGTCGAATGTTTGGTATTTTGTCTAACATACAAATGACTCAAATCCAGTCCTTATAGTATCTTAATCTTACTGCCGGGATGCAGTGTTCAACATCTCAATGGAAGGCACTGACCTAGCATGATAGCTGTAGCCTGCCCCTTCCAAACAATCTAAAATATGCCTATGAGGCCTCCAAAATCTATGTCTACCCATTTGCTTTTCTCTCGATCACACAAATAAACAACCAAACTCTTTATTTATCCCCATAAAGTCTCTTCCATATTTTCTCACCTGCCCAATGGCTGCCTGCACAGGCTGCCTCTTTGGTACAGCCCCTGAAGGACTCTGACTGGAAGACGGACGCACCATAGATGGTCTTGACACATCCACCAGCTGATTACTACCCCTGGGAGCAGGCAGTTTCTGCCCACTGTTACTGACAGCAGCTCTGTATCTGTGTTGATCGTTTGCCACATCTACCGCCGCCTTTTGCACAGGTGTTAGGTCACGTTTCAAGTCTGTTTCAGTAATGGAACTAGGCTTTTCTGAATCAGATGTGACATACGTCAAAATGTCACTTTCTTCTGAATTATTTTCACTTTTTTCACTTCCATCCCTCTTCCCTTTCTTTTTTGCTTTTCTTAATCTAGACTGCACACCTGATTTCTCTTCTTCAATGTCTTTTGCACTTTGTACTCTACGAGATGACTTCTTTGAACCTATACGTTTATCTCTTTCAGTCTCATCAGGCCCTCCGGAGGGCACAGACGACTGACGATGCTGATGTTGTGTAGTTTTGGACCTCTTATCTGACTGTTTGTTTTCAAATGATAAATCACTACTGTAGACAGATTGAATATCTTCTCTTTCACTTTCAATACTGAATGACTTGTTGAATTCTTCACTCGGTTTCTCAGCTTCTAAAACTTGGTGAAAGATGTGACCACTGTGGGAAGAGCCTTTGAGTGACAAATTTTCCTCCATTTCCACCTCTTCCACATTATTAGCTTTCTTCAAAGCCAAATTCTTCTCTCCACTCGAAAACTTTTCATGTCCATCCTTCACATGCAATTTTAACTTTGGATTCGATAAATTGTCTTTCTCACCAAGACCAACATTAACATTATCATGTTTGCCTTCTTTCGGGACAAGGTCATCTTCTAGCACCTTCTGTTGCGAACAGGTTTTGCCTTTGGTCGTAGATGTAGTACTCTGCCTTGACTGCAGGACATGGGACTTCTTTCTGGGATCACACATAACCTGGGACTCAAACTTATCAATGGAAACAGAGCCAGGTTCTTCAACCTCTGCACTGACAGAAGCTGTGTTATTCACATCCAAATGTCTAACAGGCTCCAGCTCAGTTCTCTGACCTCCTACTTTATGCCGTTGCTTTTGAATGTTATTAGCATTATCATCTCTTCCACAAGGAGGCACTTCCGTGGCAGATTGAAGACTTTGACATTTCACATCATGAGACTGGTTACTTTTCTGCATGTTCTGCAAACCTTGTTTTCCTTCTGTAACTTGACGAAGTCTTCTCAGCACGGGATCATCAATCTTTCCATCAGAATTCGCCATGAGGTTATCTTCTAGAGGCTGGAAACCAAAAAGAAAAAAAAATTCCTAAAATAAGAGCACCTTTTTTCTGAAACTGATACTATATATTTTAAGATTTTCTTTCAGCTCTCAATTTCATTTCTGAAAAAAAATATTTTGTATTTTACAGACAGCACCACCCCCAGCCCCCAACAATCATGTTGAAAAATATACAAATTGTTACAGTAAAAATGTGTCCAAAAAATTATTATTTATTAAAACAAAAATATGTGAGTGTGAACGAGAGTGAGTGTGAGCTTGTGTGTGTGTGATCTCAGTTTGCAGAGGATAATCAAAGGAAAGCATTCATCCAGAAACAAATTAAGTTGCCAGAGGGTAATCCTGTTATTCTGCAGTGATTGGAACGATGTAATTTTCTTTGTCAGAAATTGTTCACTTTCAGACTTCATTTGATGTATATGCCTTGTTTTTGTCCATACACTTACCGTATGATATGTTAATAGAGAGCCAGAGAGTGAGATATGGAGAATGTGATGGGTTGATATGATGTTGCGTAAGTATATATTGTGCATTTGGAGCTGGTGAAAGCGTACTGTTATTTTTTAAAAGTGATTCATAAATACAGTATATCTTATTTTATCATTCATCTCACAACAGAAACGCAAATAAGAATAATATTTTGGAAAAAGATAAAAAATTATGTTATGCTCATGCTATTTTAAAAATTCTGTGACAGACAGTTAGTCCTCTTCATAAGCTAGGTTTCCTTTTCCATTTATATTGTACTCATTTTATAAACTTACTCATATTAATCAAATAAACATGACGAGTATCATGAAATATCTTACCGTGTGGTTTGCCGACATTTTTTGTGTGCTTTCATCAGAATCATCCAGCATCAACTTCATCTTCTGCCGCTCATAGTCAATGTCGTGCTGAATGATCTGTGCTTTCTGAGCAAACAGTTTTTTCCTAAATTCTTCCAGTCTAGGGTCCAGCTTTTGCAAAAAAAAGAGAGAAAAGTTTCAGGTTCTATTAAGAATTACTTTTCATGAAGAAATAAATGGGGGGGGGGGAGGAGTATCTTATTTGAAATATTAGCTGAATATGATAGTCTTCAACAATAAAATCAACATATTTTGCTAAAGACTTTTTTTTAGCCAGCTTTCTTTCTTCTCAACAACAGAATGCATATTAAAAATTATATAAAACCATTACAAAATCATTCACTTCTTTCTTGTTCCCTCTTTCCATATTACACAAAATGTATGAAATCAGTTTCAGCTCAAAACAGAATCAAAGACAGTTTCACTTTTGAATTATTTAAAGGGGCTAACGAATCATTGTAAATTCTCAGTATCAAAGCTATCTTTTTTTTTTCGTCGACAAGTTGTATAAAGGTTGTGTCTTTAAAGAATTTTGTAAATAGTTTTGTGGCTATCAGAAAGTGCACATGGCCTTCCAAAAACTCCCTTGTCTGGCTCCTTCACTCAAACTAACCGCATTTCAATACTCAGAAGAAATAACAGTACTGAAACCAGTCAGCAACTCAAGCTCATTCTTTCTTGTAGGCCTACAGTCAAACCTGCTGTAATGGTCACCTGTCCAAGAAAATCCCTTGTACTAACAACCACATCTCTTCCTGTAATTTTTTTCACACAATTATGACATTTTCCAAGACATTTACTTGCCTAAGGCAACTACTTTTCTACCCGACAATGGACAGCCATTTAAGACAATTTTCGACTGTATTTCCATCAGAGCAGATTATCATCATCTCATTCCTGCCTCTGTGGTGCAGTGGGTAACCAACATGGCTAACACACTCAAGTATAGTGTGAGAGTTCATATCTAAGTAGGTATGAATTTTTCTCACACTAGATCACTATTTTCTCTCAGTGTGACAAGTTGACAAAACATTAAAATGCGTTACCTTTGAAGTCTTTCGGATTAGATCCATGTCCAGTCCGGTGCTTCAAAGCAGCTAATCAGTCAAAGCCCTTACAAATCCCTGCAAATGTAAACTCAAAAAACAAAAAAAATCACCTATTATTATACTCACAGAAGTGTGTCTCGATGGCTCTGGCTGCATGCCACCAACAGATGGTTTGTGAGCATCTTCCATTTTCCTCCGGAGTCTCCATCTGGTAAGGATGTCATCACCAGCTGATTTAAACTCGTTTAAGGGTCTTTGCGATTGTTTATTCAGAACAGGCGGGTAATGTGTGCTAGGTCTGAGAACTCTCTCTGCAAAATAGGAAAGCTGAGTGTTAAAGTATGTTCATCAATATTTCCTCCAACACAGATATGTTTGAAATATGTTAGTCATCATAATTTGGATGGTAAAAATGTAGAAAGTATGGCAGAAAACAAAAAAACAGATTAGCAATTCTACAACTTTCTACAAGCTTACAAAGAAATTTTTTAAGGTTAAAGAACTCAAAAAATTTTAAAAATCAAAACAATGAGACACCAAAAGTAGGACTCTCCATGACCAAAATATTCACTTCCAACAATGTGTAAACCAAAGTCAGTCTCTGGGAGAAGAACTATAGCTCACGTTAGAAACCCCTGACCAAACAGCATACAAAAAGAACAAGTCAGGGTATGTACAGAGATCCATTGTATCAAGCAGAGGTAAAGCTCTGCAAAGAACAATAAAACATAGTGAGATTTCATTTAAAAATGAAGTAAGACCTTGACAGCTTTGCACGCCCACATTATACAAGAGTGTACTAAATATATATTCATCACCGTGATGCACTGCTGCAAACCCTTTAAGTCCAAAATTACTATTTTCGAGAAAACAATTAGTATAAAGCATACCATAAAAAGAATGTGTACAAGTTTTGCGTAAACGTCATACAGTCAAACTTGCTCTAGCGACCACCTGTCCACAATGAGCACCCCAACAAACGACCATTTCCCTCTTCCCCCTTGCATTTTTTCAGAATAATGACACTGTCCAAGCTGACCAACTATCCAACTTGACAGCTTATTAACCAACAGCCAAAAAAGCTTGTTCAAGACGACAACGAATATCTCTCATTGTCCAACATGTTGCCTCCCCCCTCCCCCTTCCAAAAAGAAAAAAAAAATTGTAATGCGCCTTCTACCAATCCGAAGTCTGCCACCACATGTGATTCGGACCTCAGAAGTAAATGGCTCTTTGTTCTTCTTTATTTTTAGCTGACTCACCCAAGATAATAAGACGACTACTTTTCTCCTTGACAATGAGAGGTCGCCTTGGACAGGTTTGGCTGTATTTCATAAAATTTGTAAGATAAACTTGCTCTTTATTAAGACAATGAAGCAAGAAGGTTTCCAAGCTATCTTTGCAGACAAAAATAAAACTGCCTTATTTTGGTTTGGATTTTGGGACTGTTAGCGGCGATATATGAAAAACATCAGACTACAGTACCTTTTCCTGAAGTAAGCGAGTGGATTAGAGCTCTTTGACAAAATAGGTAACTGATAAGCATCAATTCAAAAATTGAAATGGTTAATGGAATTGCAAACTGATTTCGTTCAAAACTAATGGAGAGAATTAGGTTTTTTTTAAATATCTAAAGCCAAACATACTTAGTCCAACAAAATATAGGGCTAATTTATGGCCATGTATCCCCTTAACGGCCAACATATTACAAAGACACACAATACAGGTTTTCTCATTTTCATATACCATTTAAGTCCTCTGGAAAACATAAGGGCAGTCTGTAAGGTGCATATTGTCATCATTCACACATTCTGTCTCTACCAACCACCAAGAATCCACTTGCTGCTGCATGAACAGCGGAAAATAGGGTAAGGTACCTTTCCAAAGGATATAATAAAATCCAATCTGACATAGCAGAGAATCAAACCAGCAACTTAGTTATCACAAGCCTTGATGCTTCACTGGGGCCCTCTACTGTAAAGATTTCACCAATAAAACATATATTTGGACTGTCAAGTCACCTTGAATGCTGACAAATGCTGGTCTGAAAGGCACTTGATCTTCAGCGACACTGAAGTCACTTAACGAAGTTGACGTTCCCAGACCTTCTGTGCTGACTATGGGACCCGAGGTAGCAAAGCTCGCCTCACTGAAAAACATACCAGAACAAAATCAAATGAGTAGTCATCTTTTAACTATGTTACCCTGGGATGTACAGGGAAAGATGTGCATTCTACACTTTATAACCATGCAGTGTAAAAAATGTTCACCAAATAAATTAATGATGAATTTCGAGATGCATGAAATTTTGTATAATTTACGTTTATTTCTGCTGCATTGGTGTTTAACCTGTCTTCAGTAAAGACACAAGAAAAGGTATGTAAAGAATACAGCAACATTGGAAAGAAACTTTGCCAAAACTAATCTTCCAAATTCTTTCCTGCTACTGGACTTCAACATCTACGAAAAGACAGCCATTTCTCATAACTTCAATAGCAAATACAATGTACTTCTAAAATTATATCAAACACAGGCCTAATAAAGTCACATTTTGTTCCTTCTATGTCTTTTTGAAACCATTTTAAAATATTATAGTTACCTCTGAGAAAGAAGTTTGTCTGCTTTCTTCTGTAACATCAAGGTTTCCTCATCCATCGCTAGCAAAGCTTCGCGAGTCAGCTGTCAGAAAAATGAAAGAGTTTCACAACTTGTATCAACACAATGTTTTTTCACGTTGTCTTTGCAAACGTTTTGGAGTTACATTAATTTTCTTGAAGACCAAACAAGAGTTTCTATTAACCCCTTCGTTGCCTCCTGAAAATTTGTAATTTTTAGCGCTGTGCTGTATCGTTTACATCACGGAAGTAGGTAGAGTTTGCCACTCCTGGTTGCCTATATGACGTTACATATATACATCACGCTAATAACCTGGTTCTTATTCTTCTATACAGAATTTTAGCCACAAGTGCAGCGTAGATTCGTATTCGGGAATAAAAGATGCGCATATCGGTACCAAATTTGCTAGTATTTCTTTACTGTAGGCTTGCAAACGAACAAAAAAAGTAGATCTAGGCTTGCGGGCGGCCGCGTGCTCTTGTAAAATGTAAACATCGAAATGACTTTAAAAAGGCAAATAAATTACTTTTTTACTTAAGATTTGCAGGTTATTCGAAATTAGGAGTAAGGTGGGAGGAAATAGGGAATTAGAAAAGTGAGAAAAGTGAAACAATCAAAGACCCGACGTCCGAAATATGTCACAAGAATGCTAGATCTAGACTGCGCGTCCATTAATACTGAGACACTAGGCTGCCGTCCTGGGTAACGAGCTTAGCTGAAAATCAGCGCTGGCAGTAGGAATACATACCCCTTTACAACGAAAGGGTTAAAGACCACTTGTAACTAAAAAAATCATCATTCACGGTTCTGTAAGAAAAATCAGGCAAAAGCGATCTTATGCATCAACCCATTTTTACCAACGAAAGTAATCTTATGTCTTTCATAATCCCAGTGATTAAAAATTGATAAGACACAGTCTTCACACAAAATGACAGAAATACAGCATGCATCATCAATAACCACAAAAAAGCTCCACAAAATAAATTTCTAGCAAACAGTACCTTTGGCCTGTCCATCTGGACAGGGGAATCGTTGGACTGTGACAATTTTTTTTCAGACATTTTATCCCCCACATCTGGAGACGACTTTTGGAGCCACCAAAACTCCTGCTTCCTTTGTTCCCGTTCTTTCAAACGTTCTTCTCTAGACTTGGGTGCAGAATGCCTGAATCTGTCAATATATCTGTCGAACCAAGAAGTTATGCAGTAATGTAATTATCTTTTAGTTATATATCGCTTCCCTTAAAAGACCTATGTATGACTTCTGCTGGCAAGTTCATTCTAATTAGTCATATCAGTCCAAAAGTGGACAAAGAGACTTGCAGGACATCAGAGTATCTACTATTGTTAAATACCACATTTCTACCAAGGGCAAACGATCTTCTCATAGGATACAACCCAGTAAGGATCTGGCTGACCCAGTAAGTTTCAGATAAATACTCCAGCAAAAATAAAAGTGTATTAAAAGCCTGATAAAGTAATATTAAGTCTACTTTTTAAATATCATAATGAAAAAAGTAATTCATTACAGCAGTGAGTGCAAAAAGGGAATGCAATTGCAGAAAAAGTAACTATTATGAGGCAAAAAAGAAAAAGAAATTCCAACGAACAAAAAAAAAGTCACATACTAGCTGACACTAATCTGAAAGGGAAATGAAATCAGCAGCACTATGCATGAGTCAAAAAGCCCTCAGAATAGGCAATATGGCAGACCCAAAGGGAATAAAAAGGTACGGTATCTTCCATATATCCAAAGGATTTTCATTGAATATCAGCTCGCTATGACTAACCAACTGACACCAACACCAACCTTTGAAGCACAGACTCAGTTTGCTCCTCCTGCGAGGAAGGACCTTTTATTGATCTTGAAGAACCGACATCTTTCTGGTTAACACCTGCAGTTCTATCCTGTATTTGTAAGATTTCATTTCCAGACAATGCAGAAATGTCATTGCTAGTGTCTGTCAATGCACTGCAGAATGAAAGAAAGAAAGAAATATGCAATGTATTTAATACACTGGGACAAAAAAGAAACAAATAATAAGCAATGTATTTTTACTCCCTGGTCGTTTTTTTTAGTTTTGCAATATGTGGTCACATTACACACAATAATATTGCCGAACTGCCAGACAAAGTTCAAAGGTACTACTTTTAATAACAATGTATTCGTTTAGAGATGAGATGCTTTCCTCAAATTCAAAGTATTTGATCAGATTTTGTGTTTATGCAGGTACGAGTATCATTGGCGCAAAAGGATTTTTCTCTTAATTTTTTTATAAACATAACTACTAACACAGTCAACTACAGATGAGTTGATGTCGTCCGGGGAGTGAAAAAAAAAAAACTCATCGGAAGTTCAACTTAACTGTTGGGACTTGTAAAGAAGAAGAGGTGCTGGGACCTGAGAAAATGATTAACTTAACCCAAGATCAACTCAAGCCAGTTCAACATGAGCAGAGTCGATTGTAACTGTGATTTTAGCACAATGTTGGGCTCGGCTAGTTTGCCTTGAAAAATAACAAAAACGTCTAATAAGTGACCTCCAAAGCATAAAAATGACTGCACCAGAACACCTGCTAAGCATCACACTTTTCTAAAGGGTGAGAAGAAAAAAGCACACAACTTACCCTCCACACACTTCGCTGCCAGGCCAACCCTCCTCAAAGTTGTCACTTTCTCCAGCGGTATCTCTCGTGCTGGAACTATGAGCCGGGAACTCATCTGAAATACCAAGTGACTTCACATTGGGCATAGCACTTGTTCTGAAGGTGTTTGTTCCAAAGAGAAATTGTTCTTCCATAGCAGACTTCTTATCCATCTGTTTCCTTTCTGGACTGTGAATTGCCTGTGGGTGTATAGTACAATGAAAGGGGAGCATTTAAATTGAGATAAAAAGTATTGCAATAACCCATGAAAGATGAAAGAGACCAAAGCTTTCAGGAAGTAGCACAACTAGTAGAAACAATCATCTTTCATAATTTTGGTCTTGCAAATGGAAAAGTAACTCGGTGGCCTAGTGGTTAGACTCTTCGACTCGCAACCATAAGTTGTGGGTTCGAATCCCGACAGGGGCCCGACGCTGTGTCCTTGGGAAAGGCACTTTACACATATTTTCCTCACTTCATCCAGGTGGGAATGGTTACCCAACTATAGATAGCGAAAGATCTTGTCGATATCTTTGTGTCTGAGAGCTTTAATCAGCTGCTTGCATTGTATGCTTCCTGTGAAGCTGAGAATGTTTCTGAGTGTTCTATGGTCTACTGGGGTAATAATATAATGTAAAGCGCATAGAGCTTGCTGTTGAGCGGGGTTATGCGTTATACAAATGCTATTTATTATTATTAGAAGAACAAAAGGCTTGTTTTAAAAATCAAGAGTTTTCTGGTCAGACACTTTACTATTAAACTTTTTATCCTGTCTGCAGTGATGGTCACATTTCTGTATCTTATTAAAACTATAAGCAGAACCTGAATCAGTAGTCAAACGAGTATACCTGTTGTCTGGATAAAAAGCCTTACTTTGAAAATAAATCAAGATATTATTCAAAGATAGGGGAACCTTTTTTTCCTCCTCAAGTTGCATTATAATGAAAGTATCTGATCCAGAGTCCTAAGTTTTTTAATGATTTCAAAGAAAAAAATTGCACTTTTTAAAGCACTTCTGACTTACCTGTCTTTTATCAACATCTTTTGAGGGACTTGGGAAATAAAATGACTTTGGCAATGGTCTTACAGCAAATGGATCAGCATTCCTGAAACAGAATGGTAGGCACACATAGTTTGTTTATAAAGAAAGTGCAAATAAGTTTTCCATAAAAGCTATCAAGCACAAACCTGATTTTTCCTGTTTTCTTTTATCTAGAAGATAAATTTAATTTATTTCAGAGAAATTGTCTCACTCAATTTGGACAACGATATACTCAAAACTGAAAAAAAACCCACTGACTTTCGGGTCTTGCCAAATTAAGACGGAAAGTCAGTAAACACTACTCATGCAAGTATACAGCAATCAGGCAAATAATGTACAAACTCTCAAAGTTAAGTCAGTTCAGGGGGTTCAAAAATAGAGGACTAAGTGGCTGCCCCCCAAATTGTTGGGAATGACATCTCTGTTAGCATTGCTGTGGCTGCTGACTTGCATATTTTTTGCAAGTTTTGTTTTGGTTTTTGGGTTGCTTTTTTTTTTTTTTTTATTTTGTTTTAACACTTTTGTTTGGCCTAAGTAATTCTCTCTTTGTGCGTCTACCTTCAACTGGCTCGGGGATATCAACAGCCATAGCCTTTAGTTTGGCTTTGAATTCTTAGCTTTAACAGGCCTACATAAACTTATATTATTGAGCCTAAAAAGAAGTACCCATGACAACTTTAATTAGACTTAATTACAAATTTGATTTCATTTCGTTATCGGTCTTATCAAAATGTGTGCTATTTTAATTTCCAGTTTCACACTAGTGCTATGTTTGGATATTTTATACCATTTTTATCTTGTCCATTTTTTATGTTTTACACAAATTTGATCGTATATATATATATATATATATATATATATATATATATATATATATATATATATATATATATATATATATATATATATAATATATAATTGCAAAATATTCGTTGTTTTCTAGGGGGGAGGGGGGGGTATTAAAAAAAAATATTTGATGGTTTCATTTGATTTGCAGTTATATAGTTATCAATAAATAATTAGATTTCAGTTTGCGATTTTCTCGAAAACATTTGAACTGTGGCAATTTTAGATGCCATTATGTGTGTGTTCTGCCCCCCAAAAATGCGGTGGTTTAGCCCCCAAAAGCAATGCATCTATAAGCAAGTGTGAAAGTAAAATTTAACCCCCAAAAGTTACAATATGTCTTTAAACTACTAATATAATATCATATAGACATAGTCTACTACTGTTACTAGAGTAGCTTGACCCTCTCGCGGCCACTGCTAGGGAGCGGATAGTTCTCACAACTCACATTCCAGTTGCTGTAAGGCTTTGAATAAACGACTGTAGCTTCCCTTTGGTCTGCTCCAGATTGTCTCACATCCATACAACAGGACTGACTTCACGTTGGAATTGAAAATCCTCAGCTTTGTTCGAAGTGAGATATCTCTGGTCTTCCAAATCCTATCCAAAGATATGAAAGCAGCCTGTGCTTTTCCAATGCGGGACTTTATTTCAGCACCTGTTCCTCCCTGTCTGTCAATTATACTCCCAAGATAGCAGAACGATTCAACGTTTTCTAGTGCCTTTCCTTCTATTGTGACCTGCTCCTTTCGTAGTGCATCTGTCCTTAAGACCTTTGACTTTCCGGGGTGGATCCTCAATCCAACAGACTCCGATAGGCTGTTTAATACTGAAGTCTTTGCTTGCATCTGTTCCTGGGTGTGCGACAGAAGCGCCAAGTTGTCTGCAAAACCCAGATCGTCCAACTGTGTCCATGGTGTCCACTGTATACCATTACTGTGTCCTCTGGTGGTTTCCTTCATCAGCCAGTCGACTGCCAATATGAAGAGGAACGGTGATAGTAAACATCCCTGTCTCACACCAGTCTTGATGTCAAAGCTGTCAGTGAGCTGGCCATCATGTACAGCCCTGCAACTTGTCCCTTTGTACATGCTCTTGATGAGGTTCACCAACTTCCGGCTTAGTCATACCTAAGACTTAAAAAATTGGCAATCTAGTAACTGTCCCGCCTGGTGTCGGCATTATGGGACTAGTGCTATGAATGACTGATTGGCCCAGTGTCAGTATAGACCTACTGCGACTGGATAGGATAATAAGTTCTGTTACATTTCATATCCCAGTGTAACAGCACATCAACTTGCCTAAATGACCTACTGGTTTTAATAAGAGACGTTAAACGCCAACTCAAAAGTATAGCATGGAACGAATCTATAAAAAATAATGTATTTCCCCAGATCTCAAAATGAGTGGGAAACCAAAGGGGACAAAAGAAGCTTTTGACGTGTCACAAGCAGTCAGTGAAGGGATGGAGAAATGCAAATCTTCAGACACCTTTGGCATCTGAAGCTTTCAGGTCATCGAAAGTCAGATGAAGAACGTCCAAAGCCAGCTTTCCAAGTCAACCCACTTTCAACATGCACCACAACTGCTGCACCCTCATCTCCAGTTGCAGATACATGTACAAGTAAATCGACTCAGTCTTCCTCATCCCTTGATCAAGCATCGAGCCTCAGGAAATTTGCAATACTGCGTGGGAAGATTGGTGAAGCCACTGTGCATACACAAGGCTGGAAGAGGGATTTGATGTGGAAGACCCGATCTACACACTGTGGAGACATAACCCTGATGTGATACAGCCACAGGAACCCGAAGGCAGCTAAGTCAGTCTGAGACTGAAAGATCCCTTCATTTTTCCGACGTTGCAAAGCAGGAGTGGTGGCGGCAAGAGAAAAAAATCGCTGGAAAAGCTTCCATCGCTCATCAGCAGGCAAGAATTCATTGTGATTCTATAATCAACAAGGAGAGAAAGATCAAAAGGAAAGCAGAGATGGAAATGAGGAAAATGACGAGAGCCAAAATGGAACAGGAGAAATGGAAGACGAGAGAGGAAAGAGACAAACAGTGAGAGGAGCAAAAGAAGCAAAATGGAAAAAGAAAATAGAAAAAAAGATCAGATGCAAAAAGAGAGGAAACTAGCCAAGAAGGAGACGGAGAAGAAGAAGAAGAAAAAGTTAGAAGCAAAAGAAAAGAAGTCCAAGGAAGAAAATTCAAGAGAGGTTGAGCGATTCAGACTATGACACAAGTGCAGATGTCAGTGAAAGTGAAATGATACTCTTTAATGATGATGACCCGTAGTTGCAAGATTTCATGGAAGAAGGTTCTACTGAGGAATCCATGTTTGCTGAAGTGGGGGTTGTGGAAGGATATAAAACTCCACATAGATGACACATGGACAATGAAACACTTGAACTTGATGAAGGATCAAGAGTTGGACCACAGACGGAGAGAAATAGGACACAATGTTGCTGCTGACAATGAAGGCATAGGAAACAAAAGACAAGTGGTTGAAGCAGAAGAGACAGAAAGGGAAGACATGTGTGAGATTGATGGAGATGGAAACAAAAAACCAGTGGTTGGAGTAGAAAAAGAAATATATATGCGATGCGCGAGATGAATGAAGAGATGGAGGCCTGTAATATGGACAGAACTGGAAACAAAATGCCAGCATCAGCTGAAGCAGAAGGAAAGCAAGACACTGTGCACGAGAGTGGGGATTCACTCGGTCAGTATGACAGTGGAGAACGTCACTTGCGGAAGATGTGCTCTATGGATGGATGCATAGAGATTGAGATCAGAGACCTGAGACTTGTCCGTTCTGCTCTCTTATCAAGAATAGACGTAGATCTAGATCTACCATCCTTGCACTTTTTGCATACATTGTTATTGATTTCCATTTTGTTTAAATGCTCTGACCAAAAGTAAATTGAATCTCATTAAAGTAGTATATATATACATGTATCATTCTTTAATTTTGAAAGTCACCGTTTGTATTCGTTGTCATTGATTTCCATTTTGTTTGCATGCTCTGATCAAGAGTCTATTGAATCTCATTAAAGTTGAATGTAGGCCTACCATATTTCGAATTGCACCTAATACGTTTGTCACTGAGTTCCTTCATTGTTTATCATGTTTTCAAGTGCTTGAAGCTTGTTTAATGCCTGGCTGCATAACGGGCATGGATTTGGCCACATCTAGATCAGGTGGCCGCATCTGTGGCTTGTCATCGGTCACATCCAGGGAAGCTGGCCACCAAGTGGTACGCCGAAGTTGGGCAGAAAACACCCACTGTACTCTATATTGAAGTCTTTAAATTCCCGGCCAGGTCAGGGTCCTTCCTGCCGCTGCTTTTTTTCCTCCACAAAAATTAAGTTGGGAACCTCTTAGTGCAGAAGCAATTTTAGCTGGGGGGGAATGTTCACTCATGGCTGCAAGTGGTCAAGTGACTCTAAATACAAAGGAGAGGGGTTATCATTCAAACATTTGCAGCATTTATATAAACCCACTCTCCATAATTTACGCTTTTCACGGTCATGATCACTATGAATATGATGTCTGAGATTGCAAATAAAAAATCGAAGTGTATACAGACCCGGTAGGGGAAATCTTTTGTGATTTCGGAAAGTTTCAGCAGAGAGAGAGAGAGAGAGAGAGAGAGAGAGAGAGAGAGAGAGAGAGAGAGAAGTGCTAGCAAAATGTATATGACATGCCCTAGTTGGCAGGGGGGGACGAGAGAAAGATAGAGTGGGAAACAGTTTGGGAGAAAGAAAGACAGAGACAAACAAAGAAAAAGAGTAGGCGAGCGATACACAGAAGAGGAGCAGAGAAATTGAGAGGGTGACTGCTTGATTGAAATTATCATATGACATTGTTCTTTTCCTCAAATTGGGATTCCCCCAACTCCAAAACAGAGGAAATACGACCATTCATCGAAAAGACATCCGCAATCTTCATTTAGATCTAGATTTCTAGATATCTAGATCTAGGCTAGTCTCGAAACTAGGTCAAGATGATTTGTCTGTCTGACTAGATCTAACCTAGGCAATAGATCTAGAAAAACCATAGAGTTACCCCCTTTTAAACCAAGAACCTAGGTCTACCCTGAGCCAAGAGGGCGCTGAAACTTTCCGAAATCACAAAAGAGTTCCCCTACCAGTACCGGATCTGTATACTTCGAGACTTTGTTCCCGGTTGCCGGGTCTGTATACACTCCCATAATAAATAGGAAGTGGCTATTCTCACCCGGGGTGAGAATAAAAATACGATCTACCTCTCACCGCGGGTGAGACTTGCCAGCGTAGGCTATTCTCACACGGTGTGAAACAAGACCCATTTTTCCTCAGTTTGGAATACTGTCTATCGGTGTGGATGATCAAATTGATAAAAGCCAAGAAAAAAAATACGTTATAGCACAAAAGTAAGCTAATTTAATCGTCTTCAAAGATGCTATGGCTATTTCACTTTTCGAATCAAGCCGAACTACGCGGGTCGCCATTTTGTTTTGCCCGAAGTTTTCGCAAGATCTACTCCTCCCCTTTCTCTCTCTCTCATCCCTTTCTGAATTATACTGCCTATCGGTGTGGACGATCAAATTGACCAAAACAAAGTTTAAAAATGATGTTAAAACACAAAAGTAAATTAATTTGGTAGTCTACAAAGATGCTACGGCTATTTAACTTTCTGAATCGAGCTGAACTACGCGGGTCGCCATTTTGTTTTGCCCGCAAGTTCTCTCTCTCTCTCTTTCTCTCTCTCCACTACCCACAGACAAAATTGCACGCTTTTAGGCTAACACTAACAGTAGTATTAGAACGTTTGTTCACGGCACAGAATTCTGCAATTCTGTTATCACAGTGTAGAATTCTGTGGTTCAGGGTGAACGCTTAACTGGTTGGCCTAGGCTATACTATAACTATAACGGTGAACGCCCACCGGGTGAGAATAGCCAAAGAAAGTGGCTATTCTCACCCGCCCGGAAGTTCTCGCAAGATCAACTCCTCCCCTCTTCTCTCTCTCTCTGTCTCTTTCTGAATACTGTCTATCGGTGTGGACGATCAAATTGACCAAAACAAAGTTAAAAAATGATGTTAAAACACAAAAGTAAATTAATTTGGTTGTCTACAAAGATGCTACGGCTATTTAACTTTTCGAATCGAGCCGAACTACGCGGGTCGACATTTTGTTTTGCCCGGAAATTCTCGCGCTACTCCTCTCTCTCTTTCTCTCTCTCTCTCCACTGCCTACAGACAAAATTGTACGCTTTTAGTAGGCTACAGTTGTAATGGAACGTTTGTTCACGGCACAGAATTCTACAATTTTTCTGTTATCACAGTGTAGAATTCTGTGGTTTAGGGTGAACGCAAAATTTGGTGAACGCGCACCGGGTGAGAATAGCCACAAGACTCGCCTGCACTATTCTCATTCCGGGTGAGAATAGAGGTGGCCATAGCCATAGCCAAAAGATAGAGGTGGCCAAAAAATATCACAAGAGACTTCAAAAGAACTGGACTTCGTCTTTTCCTTCTACTTGTTCTACGGGAATCTCTCGGTGTAGATATAAATCTAGATTTAGATCTAGATATCTAGATCTAGAGGTAGATTCTAGATCTAGGTCTTGGAAAAGGCATGTCGCGACTTGAACAAAAAGTAAAATTCTATTTCTATAGGATAGAGGCAGAGGCCCTAATTTACAAACATCCCCCCCAAAGAGGAGGTATAAAAAGAAATGAAACTTACTTTTGTTCTCTCTTATTAGAAAAATATGTATAGAGAGTAACATACCGCTGATTACGAGGCTGACATGACATCGTAATGGGCTATCGGTTTTGTGAATTATGCCTTGCCTATCGGCCTGCAAAGGCCCACCGATGAGAGATCAAACTTTGTTGCTATTTCCGCCATTTTGACGCTGAATAAAATAAAAACATGACTCTTACCATCCGTATGACAAACTAATGTATATAATAATAATATGTGAGTTTTCTTACCATTGAATCTTATTTGTCATAAATAAATATCTAAAACTAAGAGACAGAAATATCTGAAATATACATTGATGAATAGGTATAATTCAATTACAAATTGAAAGGTAAAAACCTAATGTATAAATCATAAATATTTTGTTTTGTGACCATGAGGAGACATTCCTTCGTTGTTTTTAACTATTCTCTTGTTTTAGGCGAGACTACTGTAGCCTATGTTTTACTGAGACTTCATCAACTCGAAGCATGGCGACGTCCCTCTCTTCCTTTAACAATTCAGCGAAAACGAAAGGGGCCCCTACCCCTGAACAAGCTGCTGCAGCTTTCAATGAGCTAAGGCAGCAGCAAAGACTTTTAGCCTCAAGGATTTCAGAGGTTGAAATGGACATGAAAGAACATGAGTGAGTGAAGAAGAGACAAGAGTGGTAAAGACGTAAAGTCAAAGCTTTGGTGCCTCCTATTCTATGCCTAAAGCCTAAAAGTAAATAGGCATAGAATAGGACTAAGACTCAGCAGGAGTCCTCCTTAGTGCCTTAGTTACCTTAGTAATTACCTAGATCTAGTCCTACCCTAGTCAAAGTTCTTGAATCGTCTTTGCCATCTCTGATCTGTCTAGTCTAGTAGTGTTTTTAGTATGATATAGGACTAAGTAAGGCAAGTTAAAAAGTGTAGCCTAATCGCTAGAATAGCTAGACTAGATCTCATCTAGATCTAGATCTAGATCAAAATACTCATAAAGGAGGGCTAAAAGGCCTCCTCTCATAAATATAGCGGTAAACAAGTTTGTGTTGCTTCTCAAAGGGAGTCTCTACATACACAGTAACTGGGCACCTAGCCTCAGTGTCTACGTACACGGTAACCGGCAACCGGGCACGTAATTTCAGTATCATGTACACGGTAACCGGGCATGTAGTATGATCTTGTAGCCTCAATATCTACGTACACGGTAACCGGCTACCAGGCATGTAGTCTCAGTGTCACCAGAGACTATATAATTACTCTCTGGTGTCACTTACAGGGTAACCAGGCAGTTCAGAACTCCCAAGTTCAGTTTTTGTCATCCGGTGTTGCCCTCATCCCCATCCTTCTCCCAACTGTACTTTTTTAAAAATCAATAGTCTCTCCCCCCCCCCCCCCCCCCCCCCCCCTTAATTGCTACATAAAATTCAAAAGTTAAAGACTTTCAATAAGAGTTGCACATGCACAGGTTCACTGACCTGTCACGATGGCGAGCCCGACAAGACGCTTGTATTGTATGACTTTCTTCTTTTTTTTCAGCAAGTGACAGCACAGGACAAATTTATTGATTTATTTTCATTCCGGTTACTGAGTACGTAGATACTGAGACTAGGTGCCAGGTTACCGTGTACGTAGACACTCCGCTTCTCAAAAGCTAATGTTATAATTAATATCATTACAAATTAAAATTTAATGTCTACTGGTCTCACTTTGATTTATTATATTCCCTTCCGCTTCCAGTTGTTGCGCACAGGGTAATGAACGGAGACTTTTGCTTTTCATCTAGGAAGTGGCTATCCTCACCCGCGGTGAGAATGAAAATACGATCGACCTCTCACCCTGGGTAAGACTTGCCAGCGTTGGCTATTCTCACCCGGTGTGAAACAAGACCTGTTTTTCCTAATTTCGGAATGCTGTGTATCGTTGTGTATTATCAAATTGACAAAAGCAAAGAGAAAATGACGTTATAGCACAAAAGTTTAAGCTAATTTGGTCGTCTACAAAGATGTTATAGCACAAAAGTTTAAGCTAATTTGGTCGTCTACAAAGATGCTATGGCTATTTCACTTTTCGAATCGAGCCGAACTGCGGGGATCGCCATTTTGTTTTGCCCCGAAGTTCTTGCGCTACTCCTCTCTCTCTCTCTCTCTCTCTCTCTCTCTCTCTCTCTCTCTCTCTCTCTCTCTCTCTCTCTCTCTCTCTCTCTCTCTCTCTCTCTCTCTCTCTCCCTCTCTCTCTCTCCTCCCCCCCCCCCCTACCCACAGACAAAATTGCAACGCTTTTAGGCTAACAGTAGTAACACAAGAGCGCTGGAACATGTGTTCTCAGCACAGAATTCTCCAATTTTGTTATCACAGTAGAATTATGTGGTTCAGTGTGAAGGCTACGTACTGGTTGACCTAGGCTATCACGGTGAACACACACCGGGTGAGAATAGCCAAAAGGCTCGCCTGCACTATTCTCACATTCTCACCCGCGGTGAGAATAGAGGTGGCCTTTCATCTATCATTTAGCCCGTCCCCCGGGGGCTGAAACTGAAACTTGCATATATATAAGGGGTCATACTAAATTAAAGTGCGAAAAGACATCTGATTTGAGTCCCTTCAGACTTCATACTCATTTTCAGGGTTAGCCTACTTTAGGAACAAGTTTGTTTATAGGCATCCTTGTTGCCTTGTTTATATTCCACCATGATGAACACCCGAGACTGCTGTGAATGACAGATTGGCGCATGACGTTCTTTCGATGTTTCATTTTCTTGTTTGTTTCCTATCATTATTAGTCGTAAAATATTATGAATTAGCCCTATATAATTACTGTGATTATAAGACTTTCCTTACTTTATGGCACTGTGTTCCACTGTGACTAGTGGAAAATTACGTTGTTAAGTGTGGTTTGTGAATTTTTGCTGTGCAACATTGCAACTTTCTCAACACAATTTTTTTTTTTCGAGTAAGTTTTGCGGCGCTCGCAACTGCATCATAAGGTCATTTGAGCGCATGGGACACCCTCCCAATTAGGAAGGTATCATTTCTTTTTGCTGTGTCTTTCCGCGTTTTAGTATGATCGCCGATACATGTATTTTGACACCCTCGCTTTCCAATGAGTCCAGTATCTGCACAGCCCCACTTAGTAGACGCGCGCTGAGCATCTCCGGGTCCTCATCTCCGCAGCCAAAGTGTTTGTGTGTCAGTCTGCTAGTATTCGTGTGAGTTTGTGGCCTACTTCTAGAACCGTCAGCACTGGTCCGAAACTGAGGCATAGGCCTAACCTACAACAGTGCTTCGACTCTTCCGTATTTTTACGGAAATCCGTACTTTCTGCCAGCTTCGTACTTGTTCCTCCATCAGTATCAACTCCTTCCGTAAAAAAACTATGACAGTGTAGGACTAGATATCTACTGACATTCCCTAGCAAAAGATTCGTATTCGCCTTCGTATCGTCTTGTGTAAGCTTCGGATATTTACAGTAATTCTCTCGGCAATAAGTTAATGTTATAGAGACCTGCCAGATTGCGCATTTCCTGCAATCGGCCATTATTCCGCTATGCCCCTTGTGTTCATTGCAGGTTGGTCGGCAGCACATTTTTACCAGGAAATTTCGAAATCTGGCGAACTTTTTGTGCCAATTTCCTCCTTTCTAGGCCTATCATTCACTCATTCCATCTGTCTATCTTCGGACTGTTGCCGCGGCTGGAAAATATGCGCGTTGATCAAGTAAATTGACTTGTGATCTTAGACAGAAAATTGCTGTCTGAAAGAGTTTCGTGCTAAGACTAATAAAATCAAGAATAATTCGAAGTGGTGTTCCGAGGTTGTGACATGCAACATTCAGAAGTGAAAATTGTGGAAAATTAGGGTATACGCTGGGTAACTGTTTTGTGAAGGTGCATATATATCTATTCATTATTCCCAGGTTTGCCTTCTATCGATCGTGCAATGACAAATTAATTGAATTGTAGTAGCAATAGAAGGGGAAACTGTTTTTAAACATTGCCAGCAATGGAAAGATATGTAGGTGAAAAAAATCAAACAAGACAACATGTTGGCGAACAAATAAATGTTATGAGTAGTAGGCAATCTTTTCTAACAGGCTCCCAAATGCCATTTTCAACCCTCTAAAAGCACTATTTCAATTTCTTCGGGGGCTTCGCCCTCTGAACCCCCACCGGGACGCTGTCCCTGGACCCTGATGGGGGCCTCTGCGTCCCCCAGACCCCCGGCACAATTTTCCTTACTTTTCAGCGTCAGCTGGTGGAAGCACTACATCTCGTTTGAAACATGTTATGGTTAAGTTGGTAGCTTTACATGTTCGTCCAATGAGAAGGGGTTACAAACACGTGAATTATAACGGATAACCATTTATCATAAGTTGATAAGTCATATGAGGCCCGTTCGAACCTTTTGGATGCTATTGTTTTGTTATGAACAATCCCGGGTTTGAAAGGGAAAAAAGCATTTTTATTTTACTAATGGACCCGTCTCACAGTCAGATATTCTATTAAAGCACTTTTCTCGTTCAATTTCCAAATGTAGCTATATCAAACACCATGACCAACCATGGCGAAATCAGGCTGTAGTTTCAGCAGAATGGGGGTACCCCAGTGTACTGCTTATTTATAGCACTTCTATTTGTGGTAGTGCCAGAAGTCATGTTCATAATGTACGAAGGAAATGATGTTTATAACGCATTTACTACTGAAATAAAAATTTCCATTAAGCTTATAGGACAGCAGAGTTCTTGTCATAGAGAGCGGATTGGTTAATGCAAAGCTTTGTTTCTCCGAACAGCCCTCGAAATTTCGACCCTGTCATCTTCGGAAGGCCGTGAGGTTGAAGGAATTACCCAAATTTCTCAGCAAATGAAAAGAAGGATCAAATTTTACCTCTGACCCTGCACATCAAAATCTAGTGGTAAATGATGAGGTGTATCGAGTCATTTCTTTGCGGTACTACTTTTTCCGAAAACTACTCATTTGTTAGGCACTTGGATTGCTCCCAGGACCATGCGAGTACAGTGGAGTCCACTTATAACGAGTCCTAAAACAACGAGAAGTCTGTTATAAAGACACTATTCTAAAACCCTGTTTTTTTCCCTTCTTTATCTTTGTAAATAAAATACTGCTATAGCGCAATTGGACAAACACAAGAGTCGGTTATAGCGGAATATTGCTGCTGCTGTGCACAGCGCACAGGCCAGTTATACATATATAAACCTCGCCAGTTGAGAAACTTGTTGGTGATCTAGCGAAACCTAGGAGAAGTTACATCAACTCCTTGAGCGAAACAAAGAATAGGAGAGCCCACGTTTGCCAACAATGAAGGCCGGAGCGAATGAGTGGGGAGGGCGTGGTGCGTAGATGGTGCGCAGACAAGCAGAACGCATCGTGTGATAGGCCAGCCTAGTCTAGATTATCTAGGCCTACCACTACCCATTCCCTCACTTCTCCGAAGCGGGGATAGAGAGGTCACAATGCTGTAAAGGATGGAGTGAATGTGTAGTAACGTGCGCAAGTAGACTAAACACACCACGGGGTGTTGTGGAGTGGGGGCTCTACGTTCTTCCATCTAGGGTGGGGGACAACACAGCGGGTGAGTTAGCCCAGAGCGCATTCTTTCTGATCGCCAACGCCGTGCTGTCAACATCACTAGCGCTAGAGAAAGAAACCTGATTCGATTTTTGATCAAGTAAGACCTAGGAGGTCATGTTGAACAATGTCATCATCAGGGGAGATAACAAAAAAGAAATAAACAGAACACCAAACTCATAGATTAGGCCTACTTTATTATTTCCATTGAATTTATTACTGGATTCCTTATAACGAGAATCCTAGTATAATGGACATTTGGCACCGGTCCCCTCCCTCTCGTTATAACAGGATTCCACTGTACAATGCTGATTGCAATGATACTATTGATACCTTATGACCTGTGCGAGGGAATTCTTTGTGACATAAAAAGGCTGTGGCTTCATGGGCTCCATAAAACGTGTTTGTTCATTGGCCGCTACTTTTTAGTGCCCCAAATAGCTAACGAAATGAAAGAGACATGCAATGCCTACAATGTTATGGTTGAGGCAAAAATGCAGTTTTTCTTTTAAATTTTAGATCTGACAGCTTCTAGGTTTTTTTTGTCTTCTGTCTTCTTCACATAGTCTAAATCTTCAGCGCTGGTAATGTTGAGAGCCTCCAGAGTTGGTTTTGCATTAATTGTTGACACCACTACAACTATTCTTAACCCTATCGCACTTAGCAGGCTTGGCCAGCTGTGGCCCCCCATCCTTAAGACAAGGGCAATAACTCCACGAAAGTTGAAGGGGTACCTTACTAAAAATATTGTATAACATCACAAACACAACCAAAAATGATGAAAATAGTATTTTCTGAAAGGAAAATGAATGAGCTAAATTACTAGTACAAAATTATAAGTGGAATAGAAGAGTATGAAATGATATGAGAGGTCTTTCTGAGATACGTGTCTTGGATTCCGAGTCTAGATCTAGATTTAGATCTCGTATATATATTTCTTCGACTCACGAAGTTTCTGCCACTGACAAAGAGGTAATCCACACAAAAGAAATACAACACATTCACAGAGATTGAAGCCTCTGGTGGAAACTTGAAAGCACCTAAAAGACTTTTCTTTGGGTGTTTTTATTTTGTTTCTGCCATACTCATATCGGGCAGCTTTAGGCCCATGCATCCTAGAGACATGATGGCGTGTTTACAACTAAAATCTCCTCCAACTTTTGTTCCCGCTCAAAAAGTGACTCTTTGTGCTGGCGAAACAAGAAAAACACCATAGTAAACCGGAACTCTTCCTCTATAAAGATAGCTAAGTGAAACTTCTGATGATAGTAAAAGTAGAAGCCTCCCGCGGCAACGAAACAAATACCCCTGTGGCGGGCGCTATAGGGATGAGCGGGGGTCACCGGCGCGGGCGCATACGGGCGCTGTAAGTGCGAAACGGTTAATTAACTCTTTATCTCCGGCAAGCCGGTCCCAGCGGCTCATGGGGAGAACCACTGTGCCGGTGAGCCGTTGACAGCGGTTCGGGCACATTCCTTTACGACGACTTCGACATCAATTTACTTTTCTGCAGTTGCCACAAACAGGTCTCTTTTATCGGGATTTCATTCATTAGATGAAGAACTGTCGAAATGGGTTCACTTGTTTTGGTTTGATGACCAATTTATTGATGATTTTGTTCATTTTTAGATATAGTACCAAAAAATGGGCCCCAGCATGGTGGGTTTACCCCCCTCAGAGATAAAGAGTTAAGGACTACTGATAAAGAGCAGACAGTTCAAGTTATTATTCTTTTATGTATTGGACAAGAACCTGAATTCATATTTTGACAAAATGTAGGGAAAAGTGGGGAGGGACATTTCTCCGTTGCAAAAATGTAAGACTTTACACTAGGCTATCAATTCATAAAATTAACCTTACTATCATCTGATATGCACATAACTCTTCTCTGTTGATCAATGAGACAGATTTCAGGGGAGGGGGGAGGGGGGTTTGTTGTTTTTTTAAAATAAGAACATTGGTCATGTAAACTCTTTGTCTAGCGAACAAATGTGCATTGCCTCCTCGCTTAGCTGCAACTTTAGTTTTTGTTTATTTTGTCCAGTTCTCTACAGGAATATGTCATCAGTTTCACTTGGGCCTTACTCACAGTAGTAGCACTAACAAATATTTTGAAATGTTACAGTCGGACTAGTCCTTGAGCCCCCTGTTTTGTTTTTGCTGTATCATGTCCTTTTACTTTTCCTCTTTCCATATTCACAGCCTTGTTATCGAAGTTTTGAAAGGTGTTGATCCAAACCGAAAGTGCTATCGTATGATTGGTGGTATCCTTGTTGAGAGGACTGTAGATGTTGTCCTGCCTGGCTTAGCCACGAGTCGAGACAAGGTGAGGAAATTGTCTTCTACAAAAGTTTCACTTCTATATATTCATTTTCTGTTCTGTTTTTCCTCCACCTAGTTTTGCTTTTTATGAGCTGCTCGTGCTCTGTAGAGAGATCTTAGTCTTTTATATAATAAAGATGTAATAATTAAATTTTCTTTTTTATTGATCCGCATGGAGAAATTTTGTTAAAAATGGCGTAATATTTATTAAGAATACATGAAAATACAGTATGTAAATAAAGAATTACGTAGATATGTTGAGACACGAGTACTGGGACATACAGATATGCTGCAATCATGCCACTGTGCAGCATCCTGGGTTGCGGTTTTTTTAGCTAGGGTTATCATGTCTTGTGACTGACCAGCCCTGGATTATGGCATGGCTTCACATGACACCACTGCAAAGTCCAACTTTGACAGAGTTAACAAAGTTCAAAATCAGGCTGCCCATATCATCACAGGAGCTCTGAAATCTGAAATCTCTAAACTTAAGACAACATCAAGACTCCAACCCATGGAAGATCGCAGAGATCAGATGCAAAGATCCGGACCCAAGCGGTAAAGTTCATGAGGCTAAAAAATCACCCCATGAAGAATAAAGTGACACAGCTTGTGCAGGCCCGACCTTAAAAAGAGCAAGTTTTGCTCTCTGGAGCAAAGAATTGGAACATCAGGATCTGCCCGTAAATGAATATATCCATGAAGAGATTCCCTTGCATAACATATGCCTACCTGGGAAGACCAAACATCCCTACACTTACTGATTAGCATCCCTGGCACAAGTGCATACAAAGGACTCATAGACCTGCCTAGAGAGAAGAGCTCTTGCATCCCAACACCTTGACAAGCGCTAATTAAGGAGCTATGGACAAGAGTCTACACAGATGGATTTGCTGAGGATGCTGTTCAAAATGGAGGGGTAGGAATAATCATTCAGTTCCCAACAGGACAGGGAGTCAAAGAAAGGCTTGCAGTCAGCCTCTGAGCTCCAAACGACAAAGCATAAATAGTTGCTCTGAAAACTGCAGCCACTCAAATCGGATCTGACCCACGCTCCTCTTCCAACATGGTCCTCCTCACAGACCCTACAAGGCCATCTATCAAATGGAGACAGCGAGCTACATGACCTGACAGCAACAATTGCAAACCTCTGCAAAAATCACAATCATGATACAGAGGATAACATCTCATTGTAACTTATTTTGGAATGAAACAGTTGCAAAAGAAGGGTCTCAATCAGAGCAACCTGAAAAAAGGACAAGTATTCTGAGTCCAAAACGTTATTAAAAAGGGGATTACAAGCAAAGTAGAAGGCACAGCACCCATATTACAACCAGGATGACCCCGTACTGTCTCCTCAGCCGTCAAGAGCAGTCTGTGCTGTTTAGGCTTAGAAAGAACACAAAACTGACTAAACACCATCTCCACCTGAAGTTCAAGATCGGAAATTCAGAGCAGTGTCAGTGGGCAACCGGCAACCAAACTGAAACAAGAAACTATAAAGCCTTCCCAATGCTGGAGGCTCTTAGAAGAAAATATTGGCCCAACCATAGGCTTGGAGACCCAAAGCTCTATGGGGGAAGAATGGCAGCCTATGCACAAGACACTGGGATGTCTATTAAGAAATTAACAAGAAAATCTTGTCTTGCTCTTGGACACACCCCGGTGACCATCCTTCCAAAACCCATGTCGCAGACACTTGCTTGACATTAGTATCATTGTTCCATTGCCATTTTTGATAACTTTATTTTGCATCTATTGATTGTTTTTCCGTGTCTATCGCAACATTCCAAGATGTATGCTGCAGTCTTCATTTCATGTTTGATTTGTCAAATTTATACTTCTCAGCATGTAAAAAGACTTAAGTAAGACCATTTTTTACTTAACCCCATCAATGCCGCAGGTAAATAGGCCCCTTTGCCAAGGGAAATCCCAAGAACCAAGGCGGCTCAGGGGACTCTACCTCCCATAGCTTGTTTATTTATGAATATTTCCTCATGAATTTGTGCATGTACATTCTACATTGAACCATGTTTCTATTGGTATAATTTTAGGGGGATTTCAGTGAGAGATAGATGGAGAAAAGTTTGAGTTAGTAACATGATGCCAAAAACAACACCACTAAACAACATAAAACAGTACACATTCGAGTAATTATAAACTGAGACCCAAAAAAGGGGAATACAGGTTGAGTGAGTGTCTGCAGGTAAAAAGGCTTTTCCTACCTTATACAACACTCGTACAATCCATACATGTAAGCCCGTCTGTGTTTACTGCCAATAAATCTGTTTTGTGCTGTCGATGTGTTAGATCTAGATCTAATTTTCTCTTTGAGCTAAACTTTGAACCTGGCGCTTTCAAATGGGGGGGGGGGGGGGGATGGTGGTAAACATAAAGGAAAGGTACCCCAATGATAATTACTAGACTGTAACTGTAACTTCCCTTATAATTGGTATCAAAACAACCACTGTCACAGTCCCATAAATTCTACGGGTCATAGGCACAGCGATATACGGTTCAGGCCCATAAATTCTACGGGTCATAGGCACAGCGATATACGGTTCAGGCCCATAAATTCTACGGGTCATAGGCACAGCGATATACGGTTCAGGCCCATAAATTCTACGGGTCATAGGCACAGCGATATACGGTTCAGGCCCATAAATTCTACGGGCGCGGCAGTGAAGACAATACATTTTCTGAAAGCATAAAATTTCATTCCACTGTGTCATTTCAAAAACAGTTTACTTTAGTTTTCAAATATCTTAGAACATACAAATTATTTTGATTGCTTCAGATTTTCTCTTTCTTGGTCTTGAGTCAAGGTCATTGATATGATTACATGTATTTTTATGGATTTAAAGGCCTCATTGACAAAGCCATCCAATTTCCATTTAGTTAATGGTAAGGTTTTAGGTACCTCCATCAGATCCTTCTAACATGTATTAAATATTTCATGATGCATACTGAATTTGCACATTATTGCAGGTTTGTTCACACTGTTTGCCAGTTTAAATACTGTGTGTGAATACTTTCATATTTCTGGAATCCCAAACCAATTAGGGGAGGGTTTTTTTGCTAGTTGTATCAGTAGTTGCTTACTGCTCTAGTGAGGTATTTAGGTGCATTTTAATGGGTAGAGCAGATTGAGAGTAAAATGTTACACTCTCTTCGTCACCACATGCTTCCTTTTTCCTGCTTATTTAGTATTGGACATTGTTCGTTGTCAGAAATGATGTGACACAAACACGTGAATTCCTACACCGCTTTGACATCAGTGCACAAGATCTTGTTGTGGCCACTTTTGTAACCCCCTTTTAAAAAAAAATTCTTATAAAGTCCTCAGGCACTCGTGTACAAATTTTCACCACACGTGTTTGTCTCTTCTTTCTTGAACAATAAGGGGTGGGGGTGGGGGGTGTTATGTTATTCAACTTATTCAACGTCTCTTTCCAGGAATTTGTCAAGTGTTCTGCTTCACACAGATTGTTAAATGAGAACTTTGTCATATTTTTGTCTCTTTGATTTTGTATGTTTAACAAGACAATCATTATGAGGCCTTTGGGTTGTTGCTTTTTTTCTTCTCTCAGATGAAAGAGTACACTGACTCATTGAGGGGGAACCTGGAGACTAAAGGGAAAGAACTCGTTGCGTTCCGGGAAAAGTACAACATCAAAATTAGAACCGATGACCCGAAAGATGAGAAGGAGGAGCCCTCAGCAAAATCAGGGGAGCGACAAGCGAACATTTTAGCCAGTGTTTAGTTGTACTTGTAGTTAATGCATACAGAATGTGTGCTTGGTTGAAATGCAAGATGTAAGAGTTTGTGTGTGTTTGGCAGTATAAGAGTGCTTGTGTACCCCTCTCTCGGTCTCAACTTTTTCTAAAGGTTTTATGTTAGAAGTCTCTTGGTAGAACTAAGCATCATGTGTTGATTATATCTTAGTTGTGGTAAATTGTATAAAAGTATTTGGTCATGCAAAATGTTTTTCCTCCTGCAGACAAGGTAAAATTGTTAAATTTAAGTTTAAGACAAATGTATGAATACGTGATTCAAGAAATGGTTATTAAACTACTTCTCGGTAGTTCCTGTGGATAATATTCATATAACAATGAAACCTGTGTACATAGTGTACCCTATCCTTTTCTGTCTTACTTGTTTTAAAATTGCAGTTTTGCTTGCATTTGTGTTCTGTGCTTTTGAATGAGTCTGGTTGGTAGAACTGTATATTTGGATGGATACAATTCTGAATGAATAGAAATGTTTTGTTGCCTGACTGGCAAGCAGAGGTGGAAGTGAGAAGTAATTGCTCTGTGTCTTGAAATACTGAACAATGAAGGGGTAGGGGTAAAGACTCTCTGCTTCTCGTAGTTATTGACAATGTGGTTTCCTTTTGGCATTAACTGTGTTACGTTGACAGACACACCGGCCGTGCAGGTGCAGTGCTTTATATTTTATTGCAGTGCAAACGATAGTTTTTACCGTTTTATTGTTAGTAATGTTAATATTAATATAATTGCAGGGACATTCACTGCAATTTTGCAATAGCATCTTTTGTCAGACTTCTTCAGTTGTGACTTCTTTTGCATGAAACTAGCATTACTCGTTCATATATTTAGTTCTTCTGTTTCAAGGGAGAAGTATATAAGAAAAGTATAGTACAGTCGACTGCTTTCAAAAAACTAAAAAAAACCCACTAACTTCCATTTCAGTTACAGACTATTCGATTCCACATTCGAACCCTATAAATAATAATATAAAGTGTAAGGGGTAAATTTCTGTGATGTAAGGGGATTTTGAGTGTTTTCACTAAGGGTTGTAATTTCCTGACGACATTGATTGAAATCAATCTCAAATATATGACCATATATTTACTGAAAGCTGGATGGCTGGGCAGAACCATACAACTTAAAAAAATAACGTTTCCTTCTCCTGCTGACCTTGATGGTCGTTAATTCATTTTGGTGGACGAGAGTATGCACTTCAAAGGCCTGAAGAAATTCGAGGAATACATCTGAAGTAGCAGCTAAATTATGGATGAAGTAACAAATTTATGAGGCATTGTGGTGAAATCAGGCGCTCGTCAAAATAATAAAATTGAAAAAATTGGCACTTTCCAGCCAGTTTGGAAATTTTTATCAAATTTTTTTTTTTTTTTTTTTTTGGCTCTTTTAGGTCCATAATAAAAAACATATTTTCATGTGAATTTTACTAGAAAAACATTGATTAAAGGCACAAAATGTGTCATTTGTCAGCTTTCAAATACTCTTAAGCTGTTGGAGTTACCAAATTTTGGTGGCCATTTTCTTGCTAATTTCACCCCTGAACCCTGGCGACCTCACTTCCTTCAATTGCAAATATCTTGAAGATATATGGGTATTTATTTCATTGGAAGCATGGCAAATAAATCAGCTTTCAGATAACTCTACATGCCTAACAATTGACGAGCGCTTGATTCCACCAGATCGTGACACATAATTTATGTCTGATTGAACCAGCTGATGACACTTAAGGATCATAAATTATAGGGGGAAAAAATGGATTGGGAATATTTTTGTGCAGTTGTCTTTTTAAGTAAAAATGGTTTTTAAATTGTGTAGTCTGCATCCCATTCATTACTTAAAACACTGACATTTTCTTCTTCAAAATAAAAGTGTTTATATGTTTTCCACCTGTGTTTTAAATTGTTTTTCCAATACGTTATATAGGCCTATATGTGCTTTTTTATCTGGATACATCAAATAAGGTAAGCCTATATTTTTAAGGGGGGGGGGGGCTTGTCTTTGATTGTTGCTCACCACAGTTTGTGGCGTTCAATCACTATCCAGTTATTTCCGTTCACAATTGGGTATATATTGACCACGCCAGCACAAAGTGTAAATTATATTTATTTATTTTTTTCGTTTAATGCCCTTTCAATTGTAAATATAATGGATGGAATACAGTATACAGCTATCTCAATCTGATGGGACGAAGCCAAGAAGATGGGGAGCCTTGAAAATTCTACCAACGCGGATTCACAATGGGGATTCGAACCAGGGTAATAGTCATTGGCGCACCCAAATGCAAATCAGTATCCAGTCTACTCCATGTAGGCCTACTTGGAGGTGTGAGAGGACAGCATCTCATCTTTTTACCCTGTGTGTTAACAAGTCCCTCGTGCTCACATCACATGGTTGGAGAGTACTTTTGGGAGGTCCTATGTAGGCTACTTCTTTTCTTTCGTTCTGTTATTTCTTTCCGTGTCTTACTTTTTCTCTGCACTTTACAACTGATCTTGTGTTCATGTGTTTCTCTTTACTAATATAAACGAACAAAGCAGCGCTTGTTTTTCACATTTGTCCAGCATGCAACACAGCTGCTGACAGAGCCTTTACCATCACCAAGTCTTTGCACCTTGGAAGAGACTTATTTCACCTATCCATTTTCTTTTTTTCCTTTAATTCTCTCTAGGAGAGGGCTTTTGGTATTGCAGTTGAAGGAAGATGATAGACCGAAATAACAGAAAGACACTAACATGAAAAACATAAACTTGATAAACTTGCATTTCTGGTGTAGCGGTTAAGCACTTTGCAATTGCAAGCTGAAGACCTGAGCTCAATTCCCAAATTGGAGAGAATTTGTAGATCTCAGTTCTGTTGTTACCATGGAACTCGGATTTTTAACGAAAGTAGTTGGATTCCCCAGTTGTTGTTTTTTTAATTTATAAAAATCAATAAAAAATAACGTATTCAATTAACACAAAATAAAAATGAGCAAGCTCTGATTCAACAAAGGCTATAGCACGGTGAACAGCCCCTGCTGACATGGTTTCGCTTATTATTTTCTGCAACGGACCAAATTTGTTCCAGGAAACCATCCATGGCACCTGCATCGTGAACCATTATTCCTTTATCCTATTGATTATGTCGATTTATGCTACCAATCAAAGGCGTTCTTTCATACCAACACACACGTTGTAAGATACGTCTTACCGTGTATTTGGGACAGATGGGCAGCCAGCACACTTGTGGCTATACTTTGTGTTCGGGGGAAGGGGGCACAAGGGGTCCGGGCGTGGAATGTTAGTAGAGATACAAATGCGTCACGGTTCCTCCCCCCTGCGGCTACCGATTAATAATACAATAAGCTAGTTTTGACATAGATCTACGAAATGAATTGCCCATTGTACTGCGGATTCAAATCTTGTCGTATGCTAAGCTCTACATGGCAACATAACTAATAGAGCAAACAATACGTTATAGATTATAGAAGACACAGGCGTACGTATCTGCCCTTTTGTAGTGTGTGCTTGGTAGAGTTCAGTGTATTTTCCTGGAAATTTCCAGCATTTCTTCGGTAAGGCATCCAAGAACCGAGAATGCTTCTTATACTCATTGGAAAACAAACTACCGGTCTTCTTCTTCTTCTCGATCGCATCACACTTGAAGTCTGGTATCTGTCATAAATTGGGCCATCCTGCTCAGTTCATCTGGCGGCCCGTATAGCTTCTCTTGTAGCGTCTGTGGGGTTGGCCACGTTTCCTGTCTCAGGGCCATGTGTGTCTTGCAGTGCTGAAGGATGTGTTCAACAGTTTGGTCCGCCTCTCCACACTGGCATTTTGGTGATTGTACTAGTTTCAAACATTTGTACATATGTTGCCTCAGTCTTGTGTGTTGTGTCCTTAGTCTGAAGATAATCACTTGCTCTTGGCGGGACAGCTCGTGGTAGCTATCTGGTGTCTGAGGCGCTTTAAATAGTGTATTTATAATAGTTTTTATTTCTGTGTAGTTAACGCTGTTGTCTGGTTGCTCTTTCTGTGCTCCTAGTTTGGCCATCCTGTTTTCCTGCTCATTTCCCAAGACACCACAGTGTGATGGAATCCACTGCAGCATGATCCTCAGACATGGGATGTCCTCAATTACTTTTCGTAGCCTCGGTAGTTTGCCGGAAGTGATTGCCTGCAGTACTGACATGGCATCTGTTAGGAATACTACTTAGCTTTGGGGGTCTACCACATTCTTGATGCTGTTTGCTGCATGTATTAGAGCCTCTGTCTCTGCCCTGTAGTTTGTGCAATGTCGCCCTGTTGGGACTGCCTCTGCTTGTCGTCGTCCGCTTGGGGACTGTACGTACACTCCGGCTCCTCCTCTTTTCACAGCATCAGTGGCAGATCCGTCTGTACAGATCCTTATCCATGCTTCTCGTGGGTATCTTTCTTCAAGCATGGACAGGGTGAGGGACTTCTTGCTCAGGTCGCTGTGGTCATCTTTTGTGGTGAACATAGGAATGGACGTGTGTATAGATATGTTTGTGTTTTTCTTTTCCCATGATGGTGCCTCTGGAGTATGGTTCAGCATGTTCACTGTGGCTGGTAGATGGTCCTGTAGGGATCTTTGGATTTTTCTGCTTTCTTTGATGAAGTTGGATCTTTTGAGTCTTGCGGTGTTTGATCTCGCTGTTTTTGTGTGCAGTATATGATCCTCCATAGCTGTGGCCTTGGTGTACTGTATGAGGGCCTTGCATTCCCATCTCCTCTGCAGGGCCACTATAGATGTTGTTTGTTCCATCTTTTCTATACGCGTTGACCTCATTGCTCCAGTAATTATTCGGAGAGCCTGGTTTTGCACTTTTCCCAGAGTGTATTTGTGAGTCTGTGCTGCAGTCATCCATGCACTGGATCCGTACTCGAGATGGGGCCTGATTGTGCCTAGATAGACCTGTCTGAGTGTTTTCTCATTTGCTCCCCACTGAGTCCCTGCTAGTTTTCTCATGATGTTAAGTTTCTTTCTGGCTTTATTTTCTGCATTCTGAATGTGTTGTTTCCATGTGAGACGCTTGTCAAAGATTATTCCTAGATATTTCTGTTGATTCTCAAACTTTAGAGGGTTTTGTCTAATGTGAGGTGTTTTGACTCAGCCTGGCTGAGAGTGTAGAGTGTAGCAGAAGACTTTTCTTTGTTTACGGTTACACACCAGGTTTTTGTCCATGTAGTGAGTTTGTCCAATGCTAGTTGCATGCGATATGTGGCAGTAGTGACGAATTCCTCAGAGCACCAAAGAACCAGGTCGTCTACATACAATGCGGCATGTATTCCTTTGGGCAGTTCTTTCATGAGGTCATTGATGAAGAGGATAAAGAGCAAAGGTGACATGATTCCACCTCGGGGTACTCCTTGTCACAGCAGCATTTTCCGTCCTTGATATCCATCCACCAGCACACATGCTCTTCTGTTGTGTAGAGAGGATTTGGTCCATTGGTACATGTTGCCTTGGATACCACTTCTAAGGAGCTTGACTAATAGACCCTCCTTCCACACCTTGTCAAACACTTTTTGTAGATCAACAAATGTTGCTAGCATCACTTTCTGTGCCTGGAAGGAGTCCTCTATTACTTGGGACAAGTATGTTGTTTGGTCCTCTGTGCTCCTGAACTGACGGAATCCAGCTTGTTCTGGTAGGCTGCTATGATGTGTTGTGCCTCTAGGTACCACTGCATTCTGCATGCTGTGATGCGCTCCATTGTCTTACATACACAACTTGTGAGGCTGATAGGTCTATAGCTTAATGGTTGTGCCTTACTTTTCCCTGGCTTGAGTATCGGGATCATCGTTGCTTCTTTCCAGCACTGAGGTACTTGTCCTATTTTCCAGCTTAAGTTGAATATATCCAATAGAGTCTGTAACGCTGTGTTGCCTAGGTGTTGTAACATTTCGTTTGTAATTTCATCGGGGCCTGGTGATTTTCTTTGCTTCAGTTGATTTATTGCTTTCTTCAGCTCTTCCATGGTGATGTCCTTCTCCATTGCTTCCGGGATGTTATTTGTACTTCTTTTTCTTCTTTCCTCTTGTCTGACTTCTTTTTGTCTCTCTTGGTACTTTAATGTTGCTTTCTTGAACGTATGCTTTTACAAAGGTATGGGCAGCCCTTTTCTCCATTTCCATCTCTCCTTCAACTTCTAGAGTGATCTTGGCACTTTTATTTCCTTCGTCGTTTAGCCAAACTACCGGTACTTTTGATTGAGACAGTCAAATACATTACTTGCTCAGTGCCTGTAATAGTCTACCTAAAAACCTCATGTTCGCCAAATGTTTTTTTGCGATGCCTTAGAAAAGCAGTAAACAAACCAGGCGAGACAAAATTAGAAACTCTGTAATCCGAGAGATGGTGGGCACAAATGATGTCATGCATCACATCCAACACCAAAGAATCAAATGGTTCGGACATCTCCTACGATTACCAACACACCATCAAGCACAACGTGCCTACATAAAAAAATTCGATGGCAACAAGGCTGGAGGGCGAACGAGAAAGACCTGGATAGATGGAGTCAGGGAAACATTAACCACCTACGGCATCCCCCTGACCCAAGCTCTCCGGCTAGCAACAGAGAGTCTCTTTCTTCTCGCGACACCCAAAAGGGTATAAGCTGCGTATAAAAGTAAAGTAAAAGTAAAGCTCAATGCCTGTAATTGTCTACCTCTAAGAACCTCATGTTTGCCACAACGAACACTCGGATTCAACTAAACTGAAGGCCCAACGACTTTGTTGAATCCGAGTTCCACTGTATGTCTTCATTGAATCCAAGTTATTTTGCTGATTTGGGAATTTAATTAATAAAAACTAGCATCTGTGCTTGTCGCGGCCGCGATTTTTGGCTGTTTTCAGGAAAAAAGCTACTTCATAACCTATTTTTACTTATTACACATATAATATTAAGGTGTCCATATATTGTTATTTTCATGCGAAGAATATAGGTACATAACATTATTTATTTATATTTCTGTTTGTCTTTTATTTTCCCATCTTTGTTGTGTTTTAAATTTGTTGGTGTGTTATTTTTTTTAATGTTCTAATGTGTTGTTCTATTTTTTTGTGTTTATATCGCTGAATGTAATTTAATTCGATGTTGTTCCTACCCTTTTAAAATTTATATAAATGTGTTATGTTGGAGCGTGTCTCCACCAAAACCGAATCTGACACTGGGAGTGTGTGGGATTCCATAATTTACTAGTAATATCCTGTACTTTTTCTTGAACTGCACACTTTTAGGGTTAAAACGGCCAATCTCGGATAGGTGAACACACGCCCTTATTTGTTAATTTTTGTGGTTGTATAAATATGTGCTGTTCTAATTTTGATTTCATTCTGTTATGATTGAAACCTCTATTTTTCCCCGTTTGTACACTGTGTGGCTACAAATGACATTCGGGATGCTTAAAAGAGCACAAGAAATTCTGGTGCTTTAGATTAAGTTACCTCTGTCAACATGTTGCGACATACTTCTTCACAGAGTTAAAAGCTTGAAAATTCATGGGCAACTTTTATGGCAACTTTTGCCAATTTTTGTGGCAACTTTTGGTAACTTTTAGACCAAAAAAATGGCAACAAACGCAGATGCTAGTAAAAAGAAAATGGGGGGGAATCCGTCTCCTTTCATTGAATCTAAATTTGTTGTATCCGAGTTTCACTGTACCCCTATGACAAACCAGGAAGTGAAGTCAGACTGGGGTTCGAACCTGTGCCATAGTCTTGGCTTTGGCCTTCTATTAACCCTATCCATACGCCGTGTTTTACTATTGTATCCACACTACCTGGGGAACTCTGTGCCACCACTTTCCAAAGAGGAAATTTACTCGTTAATCCGATCCGCACACTTTGCATAGCAGTATTAGTATTAGCAGTCTGTCCAAATGATTTTTTGAGAAATACAGAAAGTTTCAAAGAGATCTTCGTACTAGAAGTATTCTAAAAAATGTGAAGAAAACCCCAGGGCGCACGGATAGGGTCAATTACTAATCAAATGAAGGGAGGGACCAGTCAAGAAAACTAAATTATTTTACCCTGAAAAAGAAAAAGACAATACTAAGAAGTCTTGGCTTACCAACCAATTGATAAAATTAAAGAGAGAGCTCAGCCTAAAAATTGTTTTTAAAATATATTTTGCCCTGAAAATCAAAGACGAGAACAAACGAACATAAAAATAATAAATGAAGACAACTTCAGGAATTATGTTTTTTGATTCTAATACGTTTTCTTTATCTGTCATAATTTGCTGCACTATGCTGCATCAACAAATGTAATTTAAATCACCTCAAGCGTTCAGCATGCATATCCTAATCCTAAGCAACAAAATTCACACAACAATCACTCTGAATCACATTGGTACCTTTTCTACAGAAAACACACATACACAATATCACATGATATGCAGCAATCACATTTCCTGACCTGCTTTGATTTCTAGATTTTTTAAACGCTATCATGGCTATTGTTATCCTATGTGACACTGCATTCGATTTACAAACCTGGGTAGGCCTACCTATATTTAAGGTTAATCACTTAAATAACCACACACACCTTTGCTTGACTGAAATAACAAAAACTATCACTATAATGTAATCACAATAGAGCACTCGTAAAAACAATTTCTGCAAGAAGATAAGAATATTCACATGAAAAAAAAAATTCAAGAGATGTTCTGAACATAGCACGTCATCTAAAACACAAATATTGGCGAACACAGCAACAGACATAGCTGAATCTGACCCGTGCATTTTTTACTGACTAACCTGTCTGTAACTGTAAATCTGCAGTGGATATTATCGATTCAGGGTTATAAAAAAAATCTGAAGTAACAACACGATTAAGGGAATCTTTTTACATCCCAGATGCAAACCATTTAATTTGTCTCATAGCCTATATCCAAATGGCATCTGTTTTACACAGGCAAATCTACTGTCTTCCACTCCACAACTCCCATCACCAGCAAATCAAATATATACATATCCAAACAAAACAGATAGGTTCTGCTTATCATTACACACTGTACATCACTTTAACGCTTAAAAAATGTATTTCATCTAATTTTAAATGAAGAAAACAAAGTTGTCACTTTCTACAGGAAAAAGGACAATAATGACCAGAAGAAACAAAAAGAACACCTTTAAATTTAAAAAAAATAATTTCTGAGTAGGATTGAACAATATGCAAAAAGTAAAATAGGGGAAGAAAAAACAAACAATTACAGGACTTTTCCTAAAAAAGGACCTTCACACCACAGCCCAGTGAACTAAAAACTAAGACTAAGACATGAGTTTGAAACATGTGGGGACTTTAAAAATGTCAGTTAATTTATCCCACCCTTACCAACATTCCCAATCAATACCTCAAGTATATTTTCATTTGAGCTTCCCCGAAGTGACATAGTAAAGAAGTCCGTACAAGACTGTGCTACAGGCCTGTTCTAGTTGATTTGATTTTGAAATCTTCACTGTTTTTTTAAATCACCAAATTCATACAATTTAGATCACAGCGGAAATTGACTACTTTAACCCTGCATGTTGAGGACAAACCGTACAGCATAGGAAATAGTTATTGGAACAAAAAGATAAAGGAATACTATAAAATGTCTGCACCACTTGGGAATCAAACTTTCACCTGGCAGAGCCTAACCATTACACAGAAAAGCCCGTATTGTGCCAGTAGGCATTCTGCTCACAAATCACAGAAGAAAATAAATATATACCATTCTTTTGTCAGCCAAATTTTCAATTCTCTGGAAAATGCTTAGAAGAACATGACGCTCTATGGGAAAAGATATACCATAAACACAAATTAGCAATAGAATCCACAATTCTATCTTTAAGTATGTACAAAATACACATATCTTTTTGACAGTACAAGTAGTACAAACACAATTTCCACAATACAAGTAAAGGGAAGCCTGCTTAAAAAGAAATATCTACTCGACCACTGGGTTTTTTTCTTCTGTGCAGTCAATTTTTTGGTTTAGAGAGGTTGCTCAAAAAGAAAAAAACACATTACAGATTTTATTTTCTTAAGGTTTACCACTGTTTTCGTAACCGTGTTTGGTTTAAGCGGACCCACTGTATAAAACCATCCAGCATTGAAAGACTCACCAAAAATGGTACTTACCAACAGTAACTCAATAAATAAAACAACTTTTTAACTCCGCCTTCACTGCCTCTTTTAACAGGTGAAAACATAGACCATTTCAGACCAATGGACAAGGACATCTCAGATGAATAACAAGCTTAATAGTAAGCATTGCAGTCAAATGTTTCACATTCAAAAAGGATACTACTAATTTCAACAACATTTTGAGAACAGATAACAGACCTCATTCAACTCACAACTCAACGCACCAAAGCCTGATGCACAACAAACTGAGCTTACAACAATGGGCAAACAAAAAAAGTAGCACAACAGAATCCACACCAGCCTTAAACACTCTTTTACTTTCATCATGAATGGTAGAATTACGCTTCTTCTGAGCAACTATCTTTTTCCAGAATAACTCACATTTCAGAAATTGAAAATTAAATCATAGGAAAAATGAATACACCATAATCTTAAATCATACGTCATTCCATAAGATTCCCCATGATGCATGGTAAAATTACACTTTTCAAGAGCGTTAACTTTTCGAGAATTACATTTCACAACTGAAAATTAAATAATACGCAGAATAAAGCACCCATCATAAATCATATCTCATAAGCTTACCCAAGAATAGAATAAGTGTAGCTCTGTAATTCTTTCCAAGCCCTACTATTCTAGCACATATAAGCGTAATGTATTGGCTGATGAAACAGTGTGCAGCAAGAGAATGTTGAAAAAAAAAATTATATTAAGTATATTTGTCAGAACCCATTCAGTAATTCAACTAAGTGACTCAAACCGCTGAAAAAGCACACCTGTATCTTCAAATGTCTTGCATATGAACAGCCCATGGCTACACTACAAACCATTACCCCTCATCACAAACAATTTGATCAAAGCAAGCACCTACATCTTCAGTTTTCTATTTGTCCACACAAGCATACCAAGCCCTCTCATTTTACTCAAACATAGCCACGCATATATGCAGGAAGCTTATTAAATTATGTTTACATTTTACCACTGAGTCCACACTGTCTAACCTTTGTTTAAAAGTTTGCTTCTCATCAAAATCCTATCTAAATAGGTTTCATTTGAAAGAAGGGATAATAACATAGAGGCAATCTTACATTTTCCTTACATTATCATGCAGAACCTTTAATTATTTATTTCATACATCAGCTTTAAAAAAAGTAACCAACTAGAGATGTAAACACTGGAACAGAAAAAAAAAAAGGTAAAATCTTCAGTAGGTTAAATTGTTGGTTCAACTAGCAGAGATATAGCTATATTATACTTCATAGTCTAAAACAACAATCTGTCTTTTCATCATTTCCTCATCCAGTCAGAGTACACCCACCACAGTACACAAGTTCAGGACTCCTAGGCTGGGGCAGCAACCTGGTATACATTTAAGCATACATCTGCTTGCATTTTTTTTTTAAATCCTTGTTCTCACTTTTTAGAATGAATTAACTAATATAATAATCATAAAAAATGCCAACAAGAACAAGTGGCAACATCAGGAGAGCAAATTTATGCACTCTTCCCAATGTCCCCATTTATCAAATTGAATAGATTAATAATAATAACAATACGAACAAGTTAAAATAAACGACTGCAGATCTTATAACTCAAAAACATTTGGTAAAACTAAACTGTCATGATTCAGCTTCATCCAAAGAAAAATAACAAAACTGCTGAAAAAGAAGGGCAAATTAGCTTCAAAGATCCATAAAATGATGGCAAGCCCATTAACCTATAAGCAGAATATAAAAAAACACTTTGACATGAAAATAAATAACATAATGAGATGAACTTTTTTAAAAAATAACATTGAATCCAGGAGAGCCAAATCAATGAACAGTTTTAACACTTACAAAATCCTGACAATAGAATTGTGAAGACAGAAAATTGCTAAACTTTGGTATCCTTTACACTTTTTATTTGTATGTGTGTATATTTAATACAATTCAAAACAACCAGAATATTTAAATTTATGAATTAAAAACTATAAAACTGGAAAAGAAAACAAGTAAACTATTTCGAAGGGATTTTTTCCCCCTTTTTTAGACGAATCTTAGTCATCAAAGTACGACTTATATTGTGCATGTTCAGGTCTGGTTAGAGAAGTGCTTACATCACACTCACAGTTACCATCACAGCATTGAACAGCCTGCAACAACAAGTATATAAACTTCGTAAAAAGGAATATAACTGCAACGTGGAGCACTAATGCTCAAAACAAACAGACGAACCATCATGCACAAAGTTAATGCCCGAACTTGAAATAATAGACTTTATTAAAAACTGACGTTAACAAAAAATAGCCTGAATGTACATTGAAGCACACTGATATGATAAGAGCAGCTAAATGCTAGGAAGAAGACATAAAAGATGGATTGTTAAGGATGAAGACCTATCAATGGCACTCTCAAATCATCCACATATACACGGAAAGTCTACATACTTCGCACAGACCTAGAGGTATTGAATACAGGTTCCTTTTTTTTTACACCCCCACGGACACAATTTAGACTATTTAGGAAGCCGGCTTCTGACTGACCCTGCTTGTCAGGGCCAATCTGGGCTGAGAGAAATATTACAATATCCCACCAGAAAGACGGGAGATAAGTATTATCCTCCACAATATACGACTTAATTTTTACCAATTTAGCTACTTTGCATCTTGGGTAAAAAAAATCTACTAAAGAGGTCCATGAAGAAGGGACATTTTTTCGCCAAAGTTCAAAGAGATTTCATGAGAACTGTTGAACATCGTATAAAGGAACCAAATGTATGCATCAGCCATTTTCAGAAAATCTGCACCTACATTGTATGTTTTCTTCACTAAGTGCTAGATTTCATTCGAGTATTTAATATTATTGTCAGGTTCAGAAAAACTCAGCCAATGTCTGGGCTACAAGAACTTTACACAATTCGCACTCTTCAACACTTGCAACATCGCCTCACAAGTAAATAAGACAGACTATCATAGACTTACTAACTGTCACACACCAAGCTCCAAAAGATGAAGAGAGTCCAAGGAGAAAATTAACATTACAAACTTCCAAAGCCCAAGGTTTCTCATTACAAAATGAACTTCGTTACCTTCAAAAGAACAGAATGTTTCTGAATTATAAAAAAAACGAAAAAAAAACCCTTCATAAGAAAAAATCAGTTATAAAATAACAACCTTCACTACTTCCTAAAGAACAAAAAGGCATCAATAATTCATATGGCATTTGTTGTGCCAAGAGAACTCCTAAAGTGATTATTCACACTCCCTTATACTTTTAAGTCTTATCAGATGAATCAGTTGCAACAATGTATTTTAGCATATGACCAACTACATGATTTGTAGACCAAACAACTCTTTAAACACAGCAAAAAAAACCACCAAAAAATTTCTCAGTTTATAAATGAGTGCATTTCCCTTATTTGCTGAGTCTTTTTTTTTTTAAAACACGAGATGACTAGCAGCGCAATTATATCTACCCTGAGATCAGGGATGTGTAACGCCTGCAAAAACCTAGAAATGCACCAGGAATCTTGACATAACATGTGCGACAAACAATTTACCTCCCCCCCACCCAATCCACAAAATTTCATTTATTAGGTAAAAGCAGTGAATTTGTCTCATTGAAAATGTTCATGTCATGCCAGACTTGAAATCATCAAAAAGTAACTTGACGTTTAAGTTTTATTTCCAGTCACTGAAAGTTAATCCTGCCCAGCTGAAATTACAGGTTCCTCCCCCTTTAAGAAATAAAATAATGTTTTGATTCAAAATAACTCAAAATTTGTTTTTGGCACAGGTCATGGCGATAGGTCAAAAGTTCATCTGGCCGACATCTGACTACTGTGTGCTGATGACGACGATGCTCCAGCCTCACTTCCAGACAGCTGCTGTTGCAGTTGCTGCTGTTGCTTCAGCTGTTTCTCCAGCTTCATCCTCTCATGCTCCTCCATAATCTGATGCTTTGTGGCAGCTTTCGCCACAGCCAGGATGGAGTCTGCTCCGTTCTTGATCATTTCTTCGGCCAGCTGGACTCCCGCCGCCCAGGCTGATGTGTACTGGTTCTTCTTCGACGGTGTCTGGCAATGAAGTCCCACAAATGAAGGTCCATCGGGAATCTGAAACACATAACATACGATGATGATTTTAAAAAATAATGCCTTTTTAAAAACAATAAGGGCTATCCTGTAAATCTCTATACAGTCAAACCTGTGTAAACGGCCATCTGTTGTCAAGGAGAAAAGTGGCCGAATAACACAGGTGGCCGTCTTAAGCGGGACTGATCAAAATGAAGAAAGTTAACCTTTCTCTTCTGAGGTCTAAATTGGGCTGATCTCAGACTTTAGACCGCCAAAAGGCTGATTTAAAAGGGCTTTTCGTTTTCTTTTGAAAAAGGGAGGTGGGTGGTGTAAGAAGGGTTTTTTGGGTTGTTGGTTTGTTTTTTTGTTAGCTTTTTTTTTTTTTGTGCCAATTTTGTGCAAGGGTAAAATAAACAAACTATTATGCTAAAAATACGATGAAGACCAAGTGCCACGGTAAAACAAACACACGGGTCGCTGCCACCGGGAGAACGAGCTACGCTTCTGTCGCAAGTTCACGTCAGCGTCCACTGTTACTTTGTCACAGATTAGGTAAACAAAACGGAGACCAGTCACCTCAAATACGATTTGTGCCTGAGTTGTGGGTGGGCTTATAGGTTATGACGGATCACACGCTTCCCTCACCAGTAGTTGAAAATTTATAGTTAGGCCTACCTATTGGTCAACTTGGGTAAACATTCATTGGATGGACTAACAATAATGACAGGTGAAAGAATTATGACAGCCTGTCCACAGCATGAGGGGCTGATTCAAAATTTACGACAAAGCAGCGGGCAATGAATGACTACGCCTGGCCGCCTGAGGCAGATGAATTTGACCGTGGGTAGATAAAATAAGGTGGCCGCGGCCGCATTGGACAGGTGACCGTTTTACAAAGTTAAATTATACTGAAAAAAACGTAAGGGGGAAATGGAAAGTGGCCGTTTGTACAGGTGGTCGTATTACACAGGTGGCCGTCATGGCAAGTCAACTGTAATTATTAAGTCCTCTACTTCCCTCCTTTAATTTCAGGTCTGCAACTTCATCATCATCATCAATGTCTTTCTCACCCAGGATCAGGATATAGGCCACGAACTAACACTTTCCACTTTTCCCACTTTTCTGTACATCGATTTCTGTGACTCTTCTCCAGGTTCCACGTGGTCTTCCCCTTGACCTTTTATCCTGTTGGTTCCAATCCAACAATTTCTAAATTCCTTGTTATGCAGCTGCCGGACTTCCTGAGAGTATGTACAATCCAACGCCACAGCCTTCTTCCCACCTCAACTCTCACTGGGCTCTGTCCTGTTCTCCTTAACACTTCCTTGTTGGTGACCCTGTCTGTCCATCCAATCCTCAGTAACTTCTTTAGACACTTGTTTAAGAAAACCTGGATCTTTTTTATGCAAATCTTTGTAACAGTCCTTGGTGATCATGACTCTGCACTCAGTTTCGTTTGATCATCCTCAGAAATGTTGCAGTACTCTAGAAATGTTGCAGTACTCTTTACTATTTTCAGTTGCCAAAGAATTTAGACATTCTAAATTGTTACGCCTTCTGCTTAAGGGCGAAATATACATCATGCACATAAGTATGTAATTAAAGTACTTTCAAAGCCCACAAAACTAAACAGAACAGATATTTCTAGAACCCTATATCACTTAAGTTGTAGAGTTGTATTTTACATCTTCCCGCAACAACTGTCACTTTGTTGGGATTGCAACTGTCAAAAAAATTTACTGTTTTGGAGCAAAGTTTGTTTTAAGTAAGAGTTTTACAGCATTTGCGACACAATTAGGTTATATGGGTGCTAAGGTTACGGATGTTACAAGAGAGTAACAAACACAAAAAGGAGGAGATATAAGGATGATAGACATTGGATAGGAAAGAAGTAGCAAAACACACCAGAGCACCCACCAACCACTCACTTGGAGCAAAATGAAGCACTTTGACATAGTAAACATTTTGGTGCTAGGAAAAATCAAAACATACGCAAACAATCAACAGAGGTAGAGAAGAAGCACAATCTACTAGCGACATTCTCTAACCAGTGGCTGCTTTTACAACACAAAAATAGCCTTATTTTGACAGGAACCATTGAGTCAAACCAGTTAGTTACATTTAAAAAATTAATAAATACAGGAATCAGACCGCATCAGAGATCTCACAAACCATCTGCACAACCAACAAAGAGGAATTGTAGGCAGTAGACAAAGTAGCAGTTGATGAAACAGGCGAGGAAAACAAGAGATGAAAAAGGAACGCAACTGAAGGCACTCACATCAACAGGAGGGAAGTCCAAATGGGTGTTAACTGTGTGCTCAACAGACTCTTTTCCATCGATGCTGAACACGCCTCCCCTGATGTGCAGCTGGGTAGGAAGAGACAAATGCAAAGATGGTAAAAACAGTACAATTTGGAAGTCATATGTGAGGCATCGTCGAGAAATCAGGCGCTCGTCAAAATAACAAAATTGGAGAAACAGGCGTTTTCCCACCAATTTCGCAAATTTTAATCAAATTTTGTTTTTTTGTTCAACCCTTCAATGTCCAAATAAAAACACATTTCCACGTGAATTATATTGAAAAAAGTTGATTAAAAGCACAAAATATGCAATTTTTCAGTTTTCAACGACTCTTTAGCTATTGAAGTTATCAAACATTGGCGGCCATTTTCTCGCTATTTTTACCGCTGAAACCAAGTGAACTTTCCTCTTTCAATCACAAATATCTTCACTTCTGCTCAAGATAGGCGGGTAGGTGAGTATTTATTTTCATCAAAAGCAAGATAAATGAACAAGCTTTAAGATGATACTAATAACTTCACAAGCACAAAAATTGACGAGCGCCTGATTCCACCTCGTCGTGACGCATGTTATAACAACACTTTCGATCTCTATTCCAATAGCATGAACAGAAAACTCATATAAGTCAACCACCTTTCATTTCTTATTCTATGCGCAGCAGTTGCCATATACAAGGGTACATCACTTCCTAGCAGTACAAATCACTTGAGAAACCGCAAAATGCTTGTATTTAAAGCCACTGCATTCCCTTGAGGGATGGCATCCATTTAGATAGAAACGAAATCTGCCCCACCCCCCTCTTGACCTTTCTCTCCTTGTGGCAGTTCTAGTGTTGCTGATCGGTTCTCTAAATAGGTTTACACTATAAACTGTCTTCACTATCTTTTAACTTTTACTCCTTCTTTTACTCTCAAACTTTTTTCTTTCAGTCCTTTCACTATAAATTTCCCTGACCATGCGGTATTTTTCTATTATTAAATTTCATTTCTCAACGCTATATTTGCTCACATAATGAGCATGGCAACAGTTATTCAGAATGAGCCTGAATATGAAGGATTATGTCTGCAAGGTTCAGAGTTTAATTCTAATAGCATTTTTAAGGCTTTATAAATTAAGCAACCTGAAAATTGATTGAAAGAAAATGCAGCATCCTCACAGAAAGGGGTGCCAAATGTGGGTCAACAATAGAGTAAATGAATGTAAACACCCTAACTGAGGTCACAATACTACCAGGTTCTAAAGCAAAATAAATCAACCCCCACCCCGATACACACACATTGTTTTTTCAATTGAGAAAAAAAAAAAGATAATATACATTCTTTAGGAAAACATTTTGCTTCATCCCCATAGTTTTAAAAAACCCCGAAAAATACCTGATTGTCCTCGTTTATTTCAGTAAATGTGGACACGGGAACACTGCAGCCTCCTTCCTGTAATAGTGAACAAAGTTAAGCATAAGATAGTATCACCACGGTACAACAATCATAACGGACTGTTTGTTTGTTGGAGCAAACCGAAGCATTCTATCATGATAAGAATCATTTGGTGCATAGGAAAATTAAGTCTTAGTAAGAATTTTTTAAGAATTAGTAAGAGTTTTACAGCACTTGCAACACAATAAGGTCATATAAGTGCCGAAGATTAGAGGTGTTACAAGAGAATAACAAACACAAAAAAGAAGGAAGGGAGATAGAGACGATATTTTATTGGAAAGAAAGAGCAAACCACACCAGAGCACCCGCCAACCACCCACAGTAAGAATTTTACGGCACTTGCAACACAGTATGGTCACATAAGTACCCAAGATTAGAAAGGTTCAAGAGAGTAACAAACACAAAAAACAAGGAGAGTTCAGGACGATAGATGTTTGATAAGATGGAAGGAGCAAACCACACTAGAGCACCCACTAACTACCCGCAGTGCAGGGAAAAGGCTAGACAGACGAAACAATAAAAAGAAAGAAAAGCATCATTTTTAGGACCTGCTTGTGGTGCCCCCATACTGCCTCTATTCATAAAAAACGTGGGAGAAAAGAGAGCACAGAGTTAAGTAAAAACCATTCACGAAACTTGACAAACCTCACTAATTGATTCCTTTTGACCATATTCTACCATTTTTTTTCTTCTGACCACATTCTTACATTTTTCTTTTTTGACCATATTCTGACCCCGAAATAAACTAAACGATATACAAAAGGCAATATATCTAACACCAAAAATAGCCCCCAAAACAATAAGAACAACACAAATCCAAAACAAGGAAGTCCACAAACATAAAACACCATCGTTTATGACAGAACTGAAAATACAATCCATAGCTCAACATGATCATATTATTATATTAATACAACCTATACTATTTTCCATTTCAAAAGCTCGATTCTTTCAGAGATATGTGTTAAATTTAGAGGTCCTACCTCTTGAATAAATAACTTTACTGTGTTGAAAGCAGCACTCAACCAATACAATCTACCGCTTTACAATTGTATCTTCAACTCGTCCATACCAGCTGCTTGAGATAGGCCCTCTCCGCCACGCAGCAAATGGTGGTGGTGTGGTCATGGATCTTGTTGAGCAGTGCCAGCGTGGCTTCGTCTCCCTGGCGACACTCCACGGCCATAGCCCCCTGGGATACGGCGAACATGCACTCCTCCGGCGACAGAATCTGTAGTCGACCAGACTATGCGGTTAGGACAACATGAAGAAGGGGAGGTGAATATAGCCAGCACAATGTGATGATGAAGGCATGCATTTGCAACCCCCCCCCCCCAAAAAAAAAAAAAATCACCAACATTTCCAATGCATAACAACCCTACACACCTACCTTCACTTTTAATTTTCTTCCATTATGACTTTCTTACACAGTGCTTCCACTCTTCCGTATTTTTACGGAAATCCGTACTTTCTGCCAGTTCCGTACTTGTCCCTCCATCATTATCTACTCCCTCCGTAAAAAAACTGCGACAGTGCACGACTGCCGAAATTCCGTACTCGCCTTCGTATCGTCTTGTATAAGGTACGGATATTTACGGTAATTCTCTCGGCAACAATCTAACGTTATAGAAACATGCCAAATTGCGCATTTCCTGCAATCGGACATTATACCGCTATGTCCCAGTCCCATGCATTCATTGCGTGTTGGTCGGCAGTACATTTTTTACCTGCAGATGGATCAAAATCTGGCGAACCTTTTGTGCCAATTTCCTCCTTTCTGTCATTCACTCATTCCTTCCGTCTATCTTCGGATTGTTGCCGTGGCTGGAAAATCTGCGCGTTGATCAAGACTGATTTTGATCTTAGACAGAAAATTACTGTCGGAAAGAAACTTTTTTCGCAAATTTTATCTAGATCTAGAGAAATTATCAATGCGAAGATTCTACGGCACGTGAACGCAATATAAGGGCCGCGATGACGGTCGTGCCCACTACGGATGGGATCGGCCGATTGCGCTGATCGCCCGACTCGGTCGAACAACCGTGTTTGCTTTGAAACTGAAAACAAACACGTTTGTTTTTGAGGCGATCTAGTCGGGCGATCGGCCCAATCCCGTCCATAGTGAGCACCACGTATAAAATCAAGAATAATTCGAAGTGGTGTTCCGAGGTTGTGACAGGCGACATTCAGACATGAAAATTTAGAAAAAATGTGGGTATACGCTGCGCAACCGTATTTTGAAGGTACATCTATTCATTATTCCCAGGTTTGCCTGCTGTCAATGGTGCGACTACAAATTAATTGAATTATAGTAGCAATGAAAGGGGAACCTGCTTTTAAACATTTCCAACATTGGAAAGATATGCTGGCGATGAAGTCAAACAAGACAAAATGTTGGTGAAAAATGAATATTATGGGCTGTAGGCAATATCTTCAAACAGGCTCCCAAATGCCAATTTTCTACCCCCAGACCCCCTGCAGAATTTTCCTTACTTTTCAGCTTCAGCTGGTGGAAGCACTGCTTACAGCATCAAAAATGGAGATTTGCCCGTTAATCCTGTTTGATTTAGTGACATCAGCAATTTAGGGCAGGGAAAAAAACAAGACAGGCAAAAACAAACCCAAATTGAAAGAATTGTAGTGGCACCTACAATTGGTAGTGCCCTCCAAGCACTCACTAATGAGCCCATACAATGTGATGAAGGCATGCACCTTGCTTGGGAACAGCATCATAGCGATCAAGTTTGAGGGAAACATTTAATTTAAAAAATAGAATAAAGTTATTATGGAAACACGAATGGGTGGATGATAGCATCAAGGAATGAAACTTTTCACTTGGACCTGGGCTTTCTAAATCGATAACTAATGACTTAAAACAACTTTTAAAAATGTAGTACCTACGGAGAAGTAATTTAAAAGGGAAAATTACTCCAAAAAAACAAACACATCGATTACAACTTAGGTTTGGGTAAAGAGAAGCACATCTGCACAATAATGGTCACTTAGTTCAGGGAAAAAGTAAGACAGACAGACAGAACAAGCAACAGAGGGACAGTAAAGGAGGAGGACCTACCAGTGGCACCCTCCAGCCAACCACATTCAGCATTAAAAAAGTAAAAAGAAATTATGGATGTCACAGCATGAGAATGAAAGGGAAAAAGGCACAGTGGGACAGCATCAGTTTGAAAATAAGTCGAAACCTGAAACAAACCTTTAAAAAGGACAAACAATACAGACTTTAGTAAAAAAAAAAATAATGACAAAGGTTTACATGACATTTTGACACTAGAGAGTAAAACATGACATTTTGACACTAGAAAGTAAAACATGACATTTTGACACTAGAAAGTAAAAGAAGCACAAAGTTACGTTCAGTTTAGGTCAACAATCAAAATCCAAACATCCATTACTGTTAAAAATACAAGTATGTCGGAATAAAAAGAAACCTATTGGAACAATAATGGTCAATTAGTGCAAGGAAATAGCCAAGAAGGACAGACAGAAACAACATTGAGAAAGAAAGGAATTTGGATCTACTAAATAGACGCACCCATCACCTACTTAAATACGCGAAGACATAGTCAGAGTATCAAGGAAGACCTTTATAGATACATAAATATTCCATACTAGGTTTTATTTTTTATTATAACAACCCATAAACAATCACCGAAGTCCAGTATTTCAACTTCAAAACAACAATTGGTCAGGTGTACTTGCTCAGAGAGTTTGACATAAAAAGTGATTGATTGAGTGTTCTGCTACAACAAAGACGAAAGAATTGTACTTTTACGCTTTTTGATATTTTGGCCCCTCTATTTTCAGTTTTAACTTAAACAGCCATCAGTTTCATTCCGAATTTTCCTGAGACAACGGACCCAAAGTAGACGTACAAAGCATAACCACAAACCTCAATGAAAATGTAAAGCCACTCAACAACAATCAACTTGAAACATTCCTGAACAGCCCTTAGGGCCAGGAGGCAGAACAAGGGCCACCGCCCACTGAACAAAGGGCCCTTGAGATAAGCGTGATAAGAGCAGGGCCTTAATCTGGACTCCTCTTCAATTGTTAGTGTATTAAGGTCAATGTTACCACTGGGACAGAAAAGGTAGGGTAAAAGATTTTTCTCGATAGTTCCACAGGAAGAAATGTTTATTTTACTGGTAAGTGTTGTATTCAACCATCAACTCCATTTAAACCTTTTAGAAGGTAGGCTTGTAGACACATCTGGTCCGCCGAACAATTATACCCAGCCCATGGAGAATTTTACAAAGTCCATCCGTAGAATTTTCATAACATGGAATCTTCCATCAAACACAAACGAACTTGTTGCCAGAAGATGCTAACACAAACGAACTTGTTGCCAGAATATGCTAAATATCTAGAAAAGAGAAATAGACATAAGAGAAAAAACTGGTATGCTTTGATCTGTAATTATTCTAACTTTGTTTTAGTTCTTAAAACTTAAAAAGTGTTTTAAAAAGGTTAAGTATTCCACTGGTCAAGGAGTATTTATCCAGTTCAGCCCCCAACCTTAGGTG